TCAGCTTTGGGTCCTCTCGTGGTGATGTCCATGCATGGCTCTCCACCAATGAGACAAACATATCAACCACTTAACCAGCAATGCAGGAGGGATCTCCAATTCTCTCTCGCTGCCAATGTCTGATTTCCAGAGCAGCGTTGTCAGACAATGTTATCGTTCAAATGCCAAACTGCACTGTCACCACACACTGAATGTTGCTCCCCTCCAGGCTGGAAGTGTACCACTACTACCAGCATCAAGCCGAAGAGACCTGTACATACAGGTTGGTCTTGAAAGGTCTGGTAGATGCTGTTAGGAAGTGATGTCCTAACTAGTCGTCTTGAGATAACTGGGCCATGTGCCAACAGTTATGTCGTCACTACCTCAGTAAGCGTACTGAAAGGTAGGTCTGGCCGGGCCAATGCCAATGGTCAAGTCAAGAGTCCAGGTAATCGCTGTATTCAACAGGAGGTTGAACTAAGGAATACATGGGTTTTCCTACAGTATATATAGTAACTGGTATAGGGGTTAATACCCAAAGAAGAGAACAATAAGAAAGGACGCGTAAGCCATCCTGTGAGAACATAACTCAGAGAAATGAGAAATACAAGGGCGCCCATTGGTAGAAGGTGAGTCAAGGGAGATAATGTGTGAAAAGAAGATAGCGTCCATGGGAAGGTCTACTCAGAGAAAGGTACTGTCCAATAGCAATGCTCGGAATGGAAATAGAATGAGATAAGCATGGGAGAATCATAACAGATGCGGACTTCAACAACTGGTTGGGGGTAGGAAACGAAGACCTGTACGACATATCCTTCGAGCGTGCTAAGCACCTTCTGTTAATGGGAGAAAGGATGAGGGCAAGTATTGGGAAAGGAACTGTGTAGAATGCTCTAGAAGGGCTGAAAGTGTTCCATAATTGGCCAAGGATTGTTCCCACCTTATTGTTTATGCTCTTCCCATGCTATTGTTAAAGATCTTCCCACCTCTTGTTCTTGATTTCATATGCACTTTTGTTTTTCTTTCATGCTTTTCCCACCTTATTGTTTACCACTTTCCCATGCCTATTGTTTTGGCTTAGTCACCCATGTTCCTAAAGCTTCAGGGAATGGCTGGAGTTGGATGACTCATACCACTCTCTCACACTATTGTTCACCTCTTCTCACACTATTGTCTCCTCCCAAGTATCTTCCCACCCTATTGTTTGTAATTTCAAATTACTGTAGGGTATATAAGGAGCTCAGTAGGGAGAGGGAAGAGAGGATCAATCTATCTGGGATCCCCCAATAAAGCTATTTGCCTGTCAAGTTAAGACCTTGTCCCTACTGTGGGATAAGAATTGTCTGGACTCTGATTTTCTGAAGCACCTCAGTGTAGGGAAGGACTGCAGTACTGTCTGCTGTCTGCTTCAGTTAGCTCAAGCTTGCCTTGGAATATAAGACTGGGTTATTGGAAGTCTGTCGTTAGACTCCTGTGACCTGTGTTAGCTCTCTACCTTCATCCTCAGCTAGACTCTAGTAGTTAGCTACCTATTTGATATCTGTCAGATTACCACCATAATATCAGGGTCCGTGTTGATTGGAAACTTATCCTACCTCTCGAACACAAGGGAACTGCTCGACCAACGTTAAATCCAGCATTCTCTTGGGGAGCTTGACGACATTTCTGCTTAGTAGATTCTAGGTGGATTTATATCTGTTGCAAGTTCTGCTGACAGCATGATCTAATCTACGGTCAGCGAAATATCGCAGTTGTCACAAGATTGCTGTTCTGACCAATGAGGGGGCTATTACGTATGCAGGACCCCATGACCACCAATCAGAGGCGATCGAGGTAGTTGGGTTCATGGAATGGTCCAGCTGATGCCCCCTAATGCACCCAATTGCACAAGGAGGGACATGCAGGGAAATCCAATAAGTGATGGTGGTCATGGGGTCCTGCTCTTTCATTGGATGTTGAGTCCCTAGGCTGATCTCTCATAGCATCAGACAGTGTATAATACTGTAAACCAACATCATAGGGTAATATACCAGCAATAGTGCTGATTCACAATACCTCCATGTCGCTACAAGGTTTATACTTGTGGAACCGTTGCAAGCATGGCATGATACAAGTCCTGAGTCCCTTATAGGGAAAGATAATACAGAGAATCCTGATGAATAATGTGGATCTGTAATATTGGGTTTCCAATCAAAGATTAAATAATACAAATGTGTAAACTATAGTACTAGCCATAAACCTTGAAAATACATCAAAGTCAGATTGGTTCACATGGTAAGTGCGAACTGCATACTTATTCCGCTGGCTTTACGCGACTCCTGCCTTATTAGGCAGGTGGTGCGCGGTGGTTCCGGGGTATTCCCATGCCTCGCGTGATGTGTTGATGCATTACCTTTCCACCTTGTTCCCCAGCAGCTGCACCTCCCCGGGGGTGCTTTTGCTCTCCTGTAGTAGATAGAAGTTGTTGTATAATACAAAATGTGTGTAACTACTGATAATGTACTCAAAAAGTCGTTCTATGTAGTCAGTTTAGCCCTTGAAAGCCAGGGAGGCCTGCTGCAAGTGGCAAAGCACTTGTTTTACTGCATAAGTGCTCGAAAGTGTGGCATTAGCAGCATAAGCATTTATTTCGGTGGATTTATGGGCATGTCATGCACTCTGTACAATCACATCAAGCCACCACTTCGCGCAGCGTTCCTGAGCACTTCTCCCCATCAAACCCCGAGAGCTTTGGTGCCCTTGTCGGGATATTCATTTCAGGACCCCAGGACGTTGATATGCACTGACACACAACAATCACCAAGGACCAAAAGAAATAAACCTAAAACCCGTGATATGGGTGAAGGCGGTCCAAGACAACTGAGGGGTATTTAATAGTTCGAGGGGGAAAGGAGGAGTAAGACGCCGTAGGGTAGTCCATGGGAAGACCTAGAAAAATAAAAAAAACACCTTGACGCCTGAAACAAACACTAGTTGACGCTCCGGAGTATTTATCTCCAAAAAGTCGCAATTAAAGTCGCAAGCAATGACGCCTATCATAGGATTGTGCCCACGGTGGTATAAATTGCTCGAGAGACTTGGTTAATTTTATTTTGCTATGTAGGACGCACCAGAGATAATTAAATCGACGAGTCAGGCCTATTGGCAAAGGATTGGTTATAATTCGCTAAGTTTGATGCTTTCAAACTTTGAGGGTCGCTGAGATCATAACACTAATTCTCTGAGATGGTGAAGTGCCAAAAAAAACTTGTTTTTCTGTATGCTACTTTGACAATTTATACTACAGGAATGGCTTTGTGACCAGCTGCTCCAACTCTGGGATGTGGGAAGATGATGAGATGGGGAGGCAGAGAGGTATTGGGTGACTCCAGTGATTCAGAAGGGGAGGAGGAGCTATGAATTCCAGGAGACCACCCTTCTCGCATGGGCCAGTACATGCGCCTGGCATTACAGGACATGTACGAGAGCCATTATGAGCAGCCCCATGATGCGCTACCACATGGTCCAGCATATCTCCCTCACGTTCTCCTTGTCCAGAAGCACGAGAGGCCCTACAAGTTCTGAGAATCCCGGCGTGCTGACCCACATACCTTTGACCGACTCATTGAGAAGATCAGCAGTGATTCTGTGTTCCAAAACAACTCTCTGAACAGCCAGCTCCCCATCGACCAACAGCTTGTGATAACACTCTATCATTTTGGTCACAATGGAAATGCCGCAGGTCTTCAGAATGTGGCAAACTGGGCTGGTGTGGCCAAGGGGACTGTCCTGCTGGCTATGAGGCATGTGATAACAGCCATCCTCCACCCCGGATTCATGAAAGAGGCTGCAAAGCGCTGGGTGCATGCTTATTCGTGTCGCACTTGGCGTGATGGATGGTGCCTTGTTGAGGGCACTCTCATACCTCTCCATGATCGACCGTTTTGGTACAGCGAGAGCTGTTTTGATCAAAAATGTAACTATTCTTTGAATATTCAGGTAAGTCTAATCCTCTGAGTCCCTGTGACTACAAAACTTAGAGCTGTGTTATAGGTGGTCTTGTTGCCAAACCTGCGCATCATTGACTTCGGCTATGGCTTTACAGGTAGTACACATGATTCAATGGCTTGGGAGGGGACTAGGATAGCACAAGAGGCTGAGGATGCTTTTGAAGGTGAAGAGTTTATTTGGGCCGACTCCGCATATCCAGTCCGTGCTACAGCTTAGATCATAGCTATTGCTCTTGTAACACTATATCTTACAGATCAAAACTTGGCTTGTTGCTCCTTATAAAAAGCCAGAACGAGACATCCTGGAGAACGAGGAGTTTAACAAACACGTATTGATGGTACGAATACGGTCGGAGCATGCAATTGGCTTCCTTAAAGGCCGTTTTCACTCCCTGAAGAGCCTTCGCATAAACATCACTGATGCGCACTCACACAAGTTTGCGACATACTGGGTAGTTGCATGCATCGGGGTGCACTCTTTTGCAATGCAGTGCAAAGAAGAAGACAGAGCTGGCAAAGGTGATGTCGATGCTGATCCGTTTATTGCAGAGGGTCTTTCTTCATCTTCCGACTCTGAAAGCAACTCCCTTCCTGCTACTAATTGCAACTGTGGCACTCGTCTTCAGGCAGCTAGGGCAAAGAGGGACACTTTTAAGTGTGCTTTATTCCGTGCCCAAGAGAAGCGCACTCAATGGCATTATGAAGAGTCGGAATCAGAGTAATTTATTTGAAACTGTATGGCTATGACTAGAGCTAGAGTAGTTTGACAATTACCTGAATTTTACGTTGTTAAAACTATCTGGTTACTGTCCGTGAAATGCCTCAAAGCCCGGAATGATCCCGTCGAGAGCAGGCAACTGAGAGAAAGCACCAGGGGCATCCTTGAGGGAGAACACCGGTGTGCCCGACTGAGAACGTGAAGGCATCTCTGCAAAGAATGGTGTTTTGTGCTGTATGCCTGGCCTCAGAATGTCATCATCAGATGACGAGACACCGATGAATGGAGAGGGACTTGAGGGGGAAGGTGCACATTTGCAGATGATGTACTGGCTTGCGGTGTCCTCGAGTACTTTGCATATTTTGCCATATGGATCTCATGCTCCTGTTGCATATGCAGCTTGCGCAACTCGGTCTTCTCCTGCAACTTCTGCTTCTTGAGCTCAGCATCCGCCTTTGCTTTCTCGAGACTCAACTCCAGCTTTCAAATGTCTCGCTCCAGCTCCTTCTGCCTTGTCATCTCCTCCGCCTTCGCAACCTCCTCAAAATTGAGTTTGGCCTTCTTGAATTGGTTGGTACTGCTCATCGCAGGTGTAGATAGCCCTGGTTGTGCCTGTGTCTTCTTCTCACCCTTAGCCTTCTTTGACAGCGTGTCCTGGTCTGATGCCTTGCGCTTCCCCAGACCACCGGCAACATCATCATCATCACTTGACGCAGCAGCATCGCCCTGCTCTGACCCTTCAGCGTCTACGGCACTACTCTCAGGCTGAGTGCCACCATCCTCCATATCAATTTCACTAGTGGAATTGCCAAGGCCTGTCGGGGTGACATTCGGATGCTTGGTGATGAGGGCTTTCATATCGAAATACCAAGGGCACTCTACCCTGATAGCCTCTACACTCGTACAGTGAGTGCTAGACTAGTGTACGAATTGAAAGCATCCACTTACCCCATTTATTTGCGATTTCCGTACCCTCCCTTATCTGATCTTCACTTGTGATGCCTTCCCCAGTCTGACCCATCGTCTTGCTGATCTCCTTGGTCACTAGGGTCATCCTGATGTCGGAGTTGAGAAAGATGACAACATAAACATGAGGTGAGTACGCTTATTCTTGATCTTGTTTGACCATGGCTTTTTGGCTTTTGCAGGCCCCTCCCGTGCTTCATCAAAGCGCTGATAAGCCTCAGAATCGTCTGACCCCCGAAAATGCAGACTCAGCACATCATACAAGCCCCCCCAGAGCTTATTCGACACAGCGCTCACACGCCTCTAGGTTTCTATGGGCTCTAAAAGAATTTTTTTTATTTAGCTCCAGACTTCCTAGCATCCTCGAGGCATACACGGACCCATTCCGCAATTGATCTCCGTGAACAGGAGCTCCAGAGTGACTTAACCAATGCGACTTCTAGCTGAATTAGCTCCGGGGCCCGCGGACACTTCTATCGAGGGGTGTCATCCTCATGCCCACCCTCCAGCACAATCCCCCTCTTGTTTCCATCAAAATACCAAAGGTGCGAATGTATACGAGTCACCATGAGGTTAGCATCAGTCAGCGAGCAGCCGGAGGTAATTAGCATGTGACCGGTGCATAACGCGGAGTGATGGGACCGCTTAGGGCAGGTGGAGGAATGTCGAGGCGGCCTCTAGGGCTGGGATGAGCAAGTGGGAGTGCAAGAGAGTTGTATGGTGTATGGTATAACGGCAGCAAGTGCTGAGCAATCCTGTGGGTAGCAGTGTTTATTTGTTATTTATCTCCGGATGCTGGAGCTAGATAACATCTCGAAATCTGCCTCACTATCGGAGTCCACAACCGTTGCAAGTCCAGGCATACTGTTGGTAGTGCTCAGGCCTTCAGCAGATGACACTGAGGTGAGAGAGCCCTCAGATCCGAGTCGATAGCGCCAATCATCACCGAGGATGCTGTCCCAGCCTGAGTTGCTGAAGTCCGAACCCAAGTCGCTTTCTGTGTCAGAAAGGTTGATATCGGTAGACTCTCCTTCGGAGTTGAAGGGGACATCAGGGCATGGAACACCATGCAGGAGGTGGCATGTTTGTCCACCACCACGACTACGACGGCTACGCCATCTCAAGCGCTTGTGACAGGCGTTACGAGTCCATACAAATTTCAGGTATGCTTTTATCAGCTTTTTGGCTTGTGCAGGACGGGGCAGCAGGCACTGCATGTTGAGCGACAGTGCACGTAAGAAAATAATTACTGGAACAGGAGTCAGACTATCAAGTATATAGTAGCATGTATATATTGTTTGTAACTTGTCCTACACGGTTGCAGTGCGAGAATCGACAGTCAGAATCACACTGGTCAGAGTGACACAAGGATTCTGGTGAGATTCTGGGTTGAGGAGGGGCTCAAAATCCTATGCAGAATCGCCGCAGAATCTCTCCAGAATCTGCCACTCTGACCAACCCTAATAGTCAATTCCCACGATAAGCAATAAAAGTAAAACTGCTATGCAGACCAGGACAAGACACACAATTGATAAATTCATGAAAATATTGTTGTAGACCCATATAGCATACACCCCAGACTAGAGAAAATAAAATAGAGATAAGACGAAGAATTGAGCCCACAAATGAGCAAACAATGGTCCCAGAGACTATAAAAATGCACAAAAGTGGTTTTGTAGTCACACGTACAACCGGACTTCCAATCAGAGTTTCACAAATGTAGTCTACAATACAAAACACAACTCCCATGACTTCTCGGCGCAAACGGTTCTCATGGGGTACAACATGCAGCATGCAGGCATATTTTGTGGGTAAGGACTCAACCTTCATACCTCAGGACTTGTAATCTCATAGCCGAAATGACTAACGAGCTTGCTTGTGGGTCCCATGGACCTCAGAAGTGAACATTTACTGTGAGAACCTGCATTCCAGATCTTGGTAATGTCAGCGTGGGTTGGGCGTGTACGCTAGAATTGGGAAAGGCAAGGAAAGCCAGCAAGAAGCAGGGTTCTGGCTCTGACATTAACATGACGCACTGAGATATATAGGGCTGCCCTGAAGGATACCCGATGGGCTGGGAACGGCCCCTCCCATGTACAAGTGGCAACTTTCCATCATGCTGGACATCGATAGAACATAGAAGCAAGATCAATGCATCCAGTTGAATGCTATGGTCAACGGCATATCCATACTCCGGAGATTTATGTAATGAGTGCCCCTCCTTTGAGAGGGGTTATGCCAAACCCGCAATATGACCAACCGGCAAGTACCAGCGTGCCATGTTTGGCTCCAGTGGCACATGGCTATACAGCACGGACTTACAATTATCTCGCGTCCCTTGCAGCTAGACTCCGGTCCATGCATAGACTATACTTTGCATCCCACTTACATATCGAAGTAAACAATCAGTAATAAATTCCATCTCAATTCACTGCTGCAGCTACAGGCTGTGAACTTTGCACACCAAATCAAGGAGGAGCTAAATATCTCTTGTATATGTCAAAGATTCGAAATAATTACTTTAAATTATATCCATTGGGACATGCATCCTGCGCAATAAGTGTTCAGCTGGCCAGCCAAACCACCTCTCTCTCTGGCTGCATTTGTGCAAGCACCTATGTGATAATTAATTCATCCCATCCCACAAAGGAGGGGTAAGATGCCGGCGCCAGACGGAGCTTCCCGAGTGTCTCTTGCCAGCGGTATTTCGCGATTGTGTAACTTACCGTCCTATTCTTGAAGGTCTACTGTTCAGCTGCCATGTCAGGCTCCTAGAACCATCCGTCTCATGTCCTCGATCCTCTCTGCTAGGGTGTGTGTGAAGATGTTATCTAATATGGCTTATATAATGTAGTTTATTTATAGCTGTATTTCCTGATTAAGCCGAATGGTGAGGATGAGGACGCTATGAGATGGCTGGCCCAACTCGTCATCCGAGGTTTTACTGGAATTATGTAAGGCAGCTAAGTGACTAATGATGTGTCAGTTTACTATTGTGGGACCAGAAGTGCAAGATTTCAGTCCTGCCCTTCTGATCTCTTCTTCTCTGACTCGCATCTTTCTAAAAATTGAGGGTTGTAACCTACATATAGTACTGCACATAATACGATTTTTTTAGATTTTTCTACCAGGCTCTGGTCCTCAGAGAGGAGGTGGGCAGGAAATGCAAGATCGGTAACGCGAGTCACAGTGGAGTTCATGTGTCAAAGATCACACTATTTGTCACGCTTTGACTTTGCACTTCGGCATAGATGAAAATGTTGCATAAGAAATACACCTCCGAAAAGCTCAAAAAAATTCAGAGCCCATCCAGACATATGCAGGGACCAGCTAAATAATTTCCAGACGCGCGGAGGTTGCGTACATGTACGAGGTCGCGAACTGGACAGGAAGTGCAAGATCTTGCACTTCTGGTCCCGTGATAGTACTGCCGGTTTATCGATGTTCGTCGACTGCCCAATTTGGATTTTCGAAGTGGCTTTCTTGTCGCACCTCAGCCGCCATTCCAGCATCTCCTCTGCTCATTGCGCGTTGATGGCGGGACATACAATCTAATCTTTAAATAGAAAACACTGTTTCGATAGTAATGCATGAGTAGCTGTTGCTCTGTATTTTCAATGTATTTCAATGAATAGATGATTCTATATACATTGAAAAGTGCAAGTACCAGGTTCCTCAATGCAAAGTAACCCCAGACCTTTGATGATTGTGTATATAAATCTACTTGAACTTTGATAGAGACAGTAGCTGCCGCACTATTGTGGTAAATAACTATTCACTGCTTTCTTTGTTGAAATGGGAGGATTCCCGTGCCTACTCATGCTCACCGGAAGTACATGCAGTCAACAATTCAGATATAAAATATTCTGTTATTGACAGATACAATTTCCATGTCCCCGTCGACGTGTGGCGAGCAGAGGAGATGCTGGAATGGCGGCTGAGGTGCAACAAGAAAGCCACTTCGAAAATCCAAATTAGGCAGTCGACGAACGTCGATAAACCGGCAGTAAACCGACGTGTCGTTAGTCGCTTAGCTGCCTTACATAATTCCGGTAAAACCTCGGACGACGAGTTGGGCCAGCCGTCTCATAGCGTCCTCATCCTCACCATTCGGCTTAATCAGGAAATACAGCTATAAATAAACTACATTATATAAGCCATATTAGATAACATCTTCACACACGCCCTAGCAGAGAGGATCGAGGACGCGAGACGGATGGTTCTAGGAGCCTGCCGCCATGTCTTCTTCTAGGGCGAGCGCTAGAGTCGAGGACACGTACGAAGCGCAGAATGACCAGCGACTAGACGAGTTACATTCCAAAATCAGGACTTTGCGCGGTGTGAGACTTACGATTCGCTGCGGATGGCGCTCAAGCTCATGCGCTCTACATGACAGGTCACGACGGACATCCATGACGATGTAGAACGGCAGAATTTGATGCTGGATGATACGGTGCGTTGAATCCTGTGCTGTTGAACGGGCTGCATTTCTTAGATTGTCACCGCTTGACGCAGAGCAATGCCTTCTCGTCCTTTGGTTCTTCTCTAGCGGACTCAGGGCGCAGGGCAGCCCACGCGTTTGGTCTTGGCTCAGGAGGTGTAAAGCAATGGCGTCTTATCTTCTACTGCCTAGTATTCTTGGTTGGCCTATGGTTAACATGGAAGATTGTGTGGTATTGGTTTTTCTCGAGCTAAGGGTGGATATAGTGTTCAATTATACCCCATACAGTATGTCCGTATACCTCGATCCTCCTCGCCATTTGCATCGACTATCATAATTACCGTCAGGCCTTCGCTTAGTTGTGCTTTGTACTTATCGCCATGGACATTCGATCAATCTATATTACTCGCATTCTGCTCCTTCCTGAAGAGTTACACTTCCATGACGGGCAGAGTCGCTGGACACACATTCACATGTTACGAAAGTGCTATACGAAGCCGCTGTCGGTTGAGTCAGGCGAGAACTAGATCTTTGACGACGTCCCTCGGTAAGTCATTGGAGTACGTATAGTATCGCTGACATTGGCTCGAGTACTCCGATTTTTGGCTTCGCGCATTTCCCAGTACACATGTTAACAGTCTCGTCAGGCGCAGAGACGCTACTTACCAAGTGTTCAAAAATCCTTCGCGCGTTGTCGCGCATCTGAGCCCAGTGGCACGGCGGTGAAAGCTGCGACTGCTATCGCCTATGAGTATTGGTTCGACTGGAACTCAGTCCAGAACTCGTGCTTGATAGGCTGGAAAGTGCGATGCTCATCTCTAGGCTGAGGAGTATGTCTGGGTCTTCCGCAGGTGCTGCAATCTCTGCCACAACATTCGCGGTAAATAGCTACGCTGTCCAAGACTGATAGAAAAACACAAGAATGCTCGTGTAAGATCTCTTATGGACCCATTTCTACAATGGTGCTTACAGTATAGTAAGATGCCGAAATGATGAATCGGTCAGATGAGTCACACGTCACACCGCCTGCCGAATATTCAATAGATCGAAATGGTAGTACTACAGAATTCCTGTGATATTACAGCACCAGAAGCCCCTACCTAATCTAAACCTGACAACACCTGATAAGGGCTTATCAGTGAAACATAATATTATAATGCCTGATCAGTCTGTCAGGTTCTGTCAGGGCTTATCAGTCTTTTCCAGATTTTCCGACAGAGCTTCTCGGAACCTCTTGCCTGAACGGGTGTGTACGCATATCATATTCGGAGACAATAATGGAGTGATTGTTGCGGCGTTGATACGATAATTATGATCGAAGGCTCCCCTCTTCGCTTGGGCCCCCTAGCAGTTTCTTCGACAGGTACACCTTCCACCGCAAGAGTTATAAAAGTCACGTCAGACTACTATCACAGCGGGCAAGCACCGATGTCCTGCCACCGGACATTTGTCATTCATGAAATAGGTGGGAGAACACTTTCCTTGCATGCTCCGAAGTGGGACTTAGCAGAGACTTAAAGAATGAGAGAACAATGTGAATCAAATGCCCCCTGCTTTTTAGAGAGCATAGTAAATGTCCCGCGAATCTGCCTTTGTTCATTCAAAGGACATTGTCCATGTCCAGGTCATGGTCCAACAGAGACCATTCCAGGAAAGTGTTCTCCCAACCGGCGCATGTTCATAGCATGCTCGCCGGCGGGACATCGGTCTCTGCCCGCAGTGTATGGGCCCACGCTATGCCATCGAGCATTATGTTTATATAAGTGTTGTGGCTCAGGCTATTACTGATGTGGATTACTTTTTTTTAGCTCTGCGTCGGGTCCCAAAATAAGGGTCGACCTTGTCTTCTTGCGACTTTGCGGCGGTCGCTGAGGACTCGATTGCTGTGCGTTGAATCTACGTGCCGAGACACTCTCATGTAATGGGAATCCACGTATGTCATTTTCATCTTCTTAGCATGTCATCTATGTTGGCCTTATATATGACCGAGATATAAGGTGGGCCATCGATGATTGAGACCTTCCTCTCATCTACATCATGACTTCGCTGAATGGCTTAGAGTGCGAAACGGTTGTCCTTCAGTATAATCTGTCGACAGCCTCTGCTGGCCTAGGTGATGTACTAAGGGTCGAAGCGAAAAGATACAGGCCTTCAGCAAACGCGTTCACTTCGTCCAGCGGCTGGAGAGATGTCGGGGTCACTCTTCTCTTGATGCACGGCGCTGGTTCTCGTAGGCACTGTTTCGCTTCTCGAAGGTACAAAGACTATTAACTTCCGAAATTCCAGATAAAGAGCAATGGGAGCCTACCATCCAGCGCATCCATGAGGCGACTGCTGGACGTAAAGCTCATGGCCATGGATCATTCTCTCAAGATCAGAGTACCATCCGGGAGATCTGGACGTTTGATTGGCCGAACCACGGTAACTCTTCAGTACTCAATGAGGATCACTTCTCCTCTCGATTGCCGTCCAAAATAAGTTCGGCAAAAGAACTGTCGCGTTCTCATTCTTCGCTGATCATGGTGCCTGTAGCTGTTCGCGATATAGGTCATTTCCTCGCGACCTTTGTGAAGTCCAGGCATTTCCAGGGCCATCGAATTATCCCCGTCGGTCACTCTGCTGGGACCTGCGCAGCGTAAGTGAGCTCATGTTACTATTGCTTGCACCTGTCTGCCTTACACGCTTGCATCGCAGCATCTTTTCCGTATCACATTTCCCCCCGTCGCATGTCCCCTACGAGTCGCTCATCCTGATTGAGCTCCCATGTATCACAGACGACGTATACAGGTCTTCCAAGTCTACCGTTTCGGATAGTGGCTTTCAGTATGAGTATGATCGCCGAGCGGATATCCTACGGCGCCGGATAGAAGGAGGGCGCTCGCGCTGGTCAAGTAAGAGTGCGGTTTTCGAGTGGACGTCTAAGCGGCTGCCTTGGAGTCGATGGGATAGTCAAGTGCTCGATCTCTATCTGGTATGCTTACACGTCCCGTACGGAATCCTTCACCGAAGTCGCACTCTTCCAGGAATACGGGTTCCGAGAGTCTTCAAGCACTGAAGAAGCGGCGGCCGGTCGGCCGAGTGTCACACCAAAGTGCACTCGAGTAACAGAGGCGGCCTCCCAGACAGACACTGTCGCGTATCGCGAGGCCGCCAATATGCTTCTTAACCAAATCATGCCTCATGTACCGGTGCATCTCATATTTGGCCGCGACGAAGATATCGTGTAAGTAATCATTCAAAGAAACAATGCGGAGCAAAACCAAATAAATTACGTATGCTAGGCCAAAATGGGTGCAAGACTCTATGATTGATGGCGGTGCTGGGCTATGGGCGTCGGTGCATGGGATGGACGGCGTCGGTCATTTGGTACGTCCTCTCTATGAAGAATGACGTGCCTTACGGTTGAGTGACCACTTTCACCTTACGCTCACGGTATTACAGGTCGTTCAGGAAGATCCTCGAGGATTGGCGCAGCTAATTGTGAAGGATTTGAAGGAGGGACTTTTGCTTTCAATGCCTCAATATGGCGCTAGACTTTGAGATCATGAATCTGATACATGTATAGGTAGATTTCAGGCCAGAAAGTGAGGATCTGCAGTGAGCCCAGATTGAACAAGTCTATGTGTTGATAATCAGCCCCTTGATTCATACCGAAGATTTATGATATAGTTAGTTGGGACAATCTCGAAGTTTCATATCACGACTATTGCACGCCGGGCGATTGTCGATGTATGTTCATGACACTGGGTACCTGAGAGTGCAGACGCTTCCGCACATTCAACCTACCACTTCTTGTGAGAAGTGTAGCCCGTGATGATGACGAGACAACTCACGCAGCGAGTATGGCGTTTACGTAGACTGAGGGGAAAGTGAAGGTCAGTTCTGATACGGTATGGATTGCTTCGTGGACAACCTTAAATGAGATATGCCACAGTCACACAGCTATGCCATGTTGAAATAATCGATAGCGCCAATAACGTCGATACAGCGAGCGCGCTTGTCCTCGAGCGTCGTCTGCCCGAAGGGACAATCGCGTAGCGTACAGATAAGTAACTACGCTGATTATATACCCTTTTCGCATAAATGATTATCCATGGCCGCCTCCGGCAGCCCCGACCCACTTCCGCAGCCCGTGAGCTTGCGAGCTCGTACCTCGCCTCCCGAAAATCCAACATGCCAAAGCACCTGGTTGAAGCCGTGGAGGACTAACCAAGGCAGCAGGTGGGTTGCTATTGTCCATCGAGTAAGCACTCTCATTAAGGAGCCACATCATATATATGAGCATGCTCGCGGACGAATCCAGCGCAAAGCCATGAGCGTACCGTATTGATTCAAATGCATATTACCGATGTATGTACAAGACCGTGCAAATCAAAGTGCTTGTGATCATTCAGAGTGCGCGTTATCGAGGACAGACATGGGCCGCTGATAAGAGTATGCATTGTGAGTGGAAGTGATCTTATGTTATTCCGGGACGCGATTGATAATCGCTTGCATAGCGAAAACCAGGTAGTCTGTAGCATTTTATATGGAATTCAGACCGGTCTTGGTCCCGCTGAGACTGGCTGGGGGTCGGGACATGAATATTCCTATCCTACTTTTTTTTCTCCGTAGGCCCATCGATTTGCAACCTGTTTTAATACACTTCTCTTGTATCTCCGCAATGACTAGATCAGTTTCCGCGTATCCTCCTACTTTGAGGGAGCATGTCATCCGAGAACAACAGGCGTCCTCAGTACTTCCGAATGACACCATCGTCCCCTGCCGTCCACACTTCCCCTCCATCATCAGATGTGCATACTCTCACGATCCTGATGGCCTCACAATCGCTGCCTACGAGCTCTGCCACCACGCCCGGTCCTTCCGGCCGCACCTCAGCGATGTAAGGCAGCCCGTCCTCGCTTGCAATGGCCAAACCCAGTTCTCCGTCGTGCGGAGCGCTGACATCCGAAGAATGCGCGTGCAGAAATTTCAGCGAGGAAGGGACCACGAAAGCGAGCGACTCGATGGATGCGCCGTTGCGTGTAAACGATGTGAGTGCTGAAGAGAGGTTGCGGGTGTCGTAGATGGTCAAGATGCCCTTCACGGAGCCCGTAGCAAGGAGATTGGCCGACGGCGAGTAGCAGATGGCACTTAAAGCAGGGGACTTGGTCGCACTTCCGTCCGCAGGTGAGGCGGAACGGAAGACCGATGCTTTCGAAGTGAGGTCAAAGATTTCAAACTGCCCGTCCTGTAACGCGCAAAACGCAAGTTTGTCCGCAGTGTCGACTTCTCGGAGATCCAACGCAGCCGGGGTGGACCTCCCGCTGACATTTTCCCCGTCGGGATCCACAGTCGCAGCGACCTTGAATGTGGCCTTCTCACCTATGCTCATTGCGTTCACGGGCACGTACCGCGTGGAGCACATGGCGCGAATCTGCTGTCCGCCGCCAACGTCCCACAGACGCACGGTCCCGTCCTTGGCTGCGGATAAGACATTTCGACCGCGAGAGATCATGGCCGTACATGTGATAGAGCGCGTATGGCCTTTGAGCGAACGGACGGGTTTGAACGGTAGCGGTTCCTTATTTGCACTGGTAGCGTCGGGCGCAGGCGAAGCTTCGGCAGGGAGGATGTGCAACCCAAAGTCGGCGCCAGCAGAAAGAAGCACGCGTGATGATGGAAAGAATCGGAGGGACGTGACGGTGGTCAAGTGAGGCTTGCAGGAGAGTTTCGCGCCATCGGCGCTGACGGTAGAACGAGACACAGATGTAACGGGACTCAGGAAGATAGCACCATCATTGTATCCTGTAGCGACTTGCGTACCATCCGGGGAGATATCAAAGGCAGATATCTGTTGGGGCTACGTGGTCAGTTCATTATACTTGTTCAGTCTACGGAAATATTCAAAGGAGCCTAAAAACTCACATGTTGAGGGTCTGCCCTGTCAGGATCTGTAAATGTCTGTCTCGGGAATGCTACCCGTGTATGCAGTATGTTTAAAGCTGAACAAGCAGCTGTGTACTGTCCCTGTCGTAACCAAAGGAAGGTGATCACTTCGGACGGTTTATCACTCGAAATGTTTGAAATAAAAACAGTGACTCACCCCTCCAAGTACCTGTATCTCAACGCCGTCTCTGGCTTCGAGGATGACTCGAGACCTATCGTTGTTGTCTAAGGACACGCTGACTTTACCGTGCACAGACGTCGAGCCGGTCCTATAGCATGAAAGCCATATATCCTCGGATAGAACAAGCCCCGATCGAACATCGTCAATGACAGTTTGCAAGGAGGATTGGATTGTTACCACCGGCAGCGTTATTGGCGAGGTCATTGTGTAGAAACTCTGAGACGACGTAAACGGAATGAAAGGGCTTGCTGATTCATCAATTATATCTATTTATTTATTATAAAGAAGAAACACTATTATCCTGATATGATATGTAGGTCAAGGGGCGGACAGAAATAAAATTTTAGACCACATGCCACAAATCTCAGTTAAGGGTCTCCAGGGGACCCCCCCTCCCCCCGTGGGACAGTCTCACGGTACATAAAGGGAAGGTATGTCGCACAGCAAGCAAGGGTTAGAGTTACTTCGTCACAGGGGGGTGTCACATCTACTTCGGTCACAATTCATATGTTTTCTGAAGATCGCTACCAGGGGTCATTCTTTCTCACCGCTTTCCTCTAGGATACTTCAGAAATTACTCAAAAGTACCCAATAATGTGCCAGATACCTGCCCGTTACCCCCCTTACCCCAGATGGCTGGGCGCTTAACTGATAATAAATCTCAGTTAAGGGCTCCGAGGTCCCCCCCCTCCCCCTGCATGTGGTCTCGGCATCTCCCGGTGTCCGCCCCTTGATGTAGGTATCATAGCATTTTGAAATCGCGAAATTGTCCGTCAACCTGTCCGAGTCCTACCTGTCCTCCGTCGACTCGATCCTGGCGTTGACGGGCAACATGCGCAACGATATATACTTGCCACAAGACTTGATAGTATATATGAAACGAGTCTGCATGTTATGGTAGAAATTTTCCCTGGTCTTGGGGGAAGCGCAAGATCGAGCTTGCTCCAGGGTCTGAAGAAATACCTTGGTACGCGTGTCCAGCAGTGTACGCGTACTACGTGGGGGCTCACCAACACTCACGTCGTGCAGCTGGAGTCCTTAACGTGGGGAATCCGTTAGCGTCTCGTCGCAGTCTACGAATTCATTTTTTGTGCGTATATGCCTTCAGTACGCTCTGCTTTCATCATATAACGGTTTCTTGGGCTCAATGTCAGGGGTGACACTTGTCTTGAAGTTTCAACGGATTGGAGACCACAAGGCTAGTAAAGCGCGCAGCTTGACAGATGCTTGACTAACCGCATCTATCAAGGTGGACGTAGAACCATATGCGGAGTACACCGAGTCTTTCACAGATGTCGACACCAAGGCAGGTTCACAGAAATTCCGTAACTCCACTGCTGTAGCCTTTCGTTATCAAGGCTCAGTCCTTCATTCCAGTGCAGATGTCATAACCGCAGACCATTGCCTGTGTTGGGAATGCTATCACAGCGCGCCAGATGAAGTGTCATAGACCTTTAACTTCATAACGCTTGGAGCTCACAAGCTAGTCTTCCACCAATGCATCCCTCGATACATCTATAGTCACCACGCCGGTCCATGTGAACGTCCAGACCCCGTGCATATTCTTCCATTTCTGTTCGCGGTTTAAGGTATATGGCTCAGGTGGCGTTTTACGCCCGGTCGAGCTGGGAGAACAGCGGTATACATTGCTCTATGTACCATTGGACACGATTTGACGTTCTCGAATTGCTTGCCCACATCCATGACGTGATCCTGGTCCAGGCTGTCGTGCGTGATTCTAAGTTCAATAATGTAGGAAAGGAGTCTGACTCACGTTCTTGAACCTTGCTTGAGTAGAACGACGACCAAGGCCCCGCTATCTCTTCGTAAAAGCCCTGCAGTTACCCCGTCAATCGACCAGATAGGCAATCATATATTGAGTGTTTCAAGTTCCACGTCGAGCGCTAGGCTAACTCTTGCCAAAACTCAACATATCACAAAGTCCTACCAGGACTTTAGTGGGCCTCTTTCAGGCTGCAAATACATTCCCCATCAATCAATCTGACAGCAATCTAGGCGGTCGCAGTGGCTGTGGAGGCATTATCAAAACCCCCTCTCAGTTAGGAAGGCACGTGGGTGGCACGTGGACAGTGTATCAAGCGTAACAGCGGGGTTGCCTCTGGCCTACAAGCGCCCCTGCACGTCCTCGCAGCCGCAGGCCTTTTCTCCCCAACACTCTGCCCAAATGTTCAGCTTGAATTAACACTGCTTTCGCTCAAGTTCCCTTCCTCTCTTACTGCCATGTCCAATGACATCCAGAAGGCCGACCAGATAGCATGGAAGTTCTATTCGAAGCTGGTCCTCGTAGTCAATAACGCTCGCACGACAGAAGAAACGGGGGGTCAGACAAAGGTGGACAAATGGGTGAGCAGGAATCTCATTCGAAGGAGGCCATGATCTATACCTTGGTGTCGTCAGTTCAACCTCGAGACACCGGACTCGGATCTCTACAAGGAGCACTTGAAGCTATACCGCTACATCTCTGCTGCGGACTCGCCGCGCACGCTAGAGCTTCAAGTTCTCCTGGCGGTGCCAGAATTGACGAACAATCAGGCCCTTGTCTACCGGGCGCCTGATTCCTCCCGGCTCCGCGTCGATCCCACGCCGAGGTATATCCTGCTCGAGTCATGGACCCTCGCCTTCCGACCGGCAGCACACTCAGGTTACGGGGACGCATCGGAGGTAGCTCCACCCACCATATACAAGCATGGCATACCGCTCTACCGCAGCCTTTTCACGCTCCTGAGGATCCTTCCAGCGTGGGCGCTCTTCAAGCGCCTGCGCCGTCGCACAAGCGGTGCAAACAGGAATGCCAATTTCAGCATCAGGTTGCACGTTCAGTCTGCTAATGAAAGGCTGGAGGGAATACTAGGGTTCGGTGAGCCACGTTTCGTCCATGATTCTGATCCACGAGACCGACCGATCGCGCTCTTTAGGCACCCCTCCGGTTGCCAATACACCACCGTTGGCCACGGGATCCCACTCGTTTGCACCCATACCCCATCCCATGGGCACTTTGTCGCTGTCCGGTGCCTACCTCCTCTCCCCGCACTTCCAAATAGACGAACTCGAGTCTCTTCTCTCCTCACGCTTTCTGTCTCTGGAGGAGGGCAATGAGTTCACCCCCACTCTGGCTAGGAACCAGCAGCGAGAGTCGCTGTCCACTTCGCCAGGTAGTCTGCCTGTCAAGACGTCGTTGCCGGCCTCTCCTCCGTCCTCCGTCGCAGAGCGCTTCGTCCTGCCTGCCGTGCACACGCGCACGACCTCACTGCCGGGCAATGCGCGCAATGTGGCACAGCAATTCAGCCGTCCCCCCTCCAACCTTGGTACCGCAGGATCAGCCTCGGGTGTCTCCGCGGCATCATCTTCTCATCGTGGGTCGACTTCCGGTGGGTCAAAGGACGATGGCCACCCAATGTCGGCGATAGGCTCGCGGTTGCGCAGAGAAAGCACTGGGACTGGTCGAGGCGCCGTAAGTGCATAGCATTCCCCGCATTGCTGTGTGTATTGTTCTGATCAAGTGATTACCGTGTCTACAGGACTTACCTTCGTCTCCCGGTCCATTGCCCATCCGCCGTCCGGCAATGGTGCATCCCTTCAAGTCGTCCACGCTGTCCTCTTCTCCGTCCCTGCATTCCCCGACCCCTTCTCTGCGGCAGCATTCGCCGTTGTCGGGCGCAGGCGGTCCTTCGCTTCCGTCTCGTCCTGCGAACTCACCGACCTCTTCCCGGGCCCCTCCCCTACCTGTCGCCTCGAACGTAAATCGTTCTCCAGGATCGCCTGTGATACCCCTCCGCCCGTCGCCAACCTTTAACCCATCAAGTTTGGGCGACCGGCGACCACTAGCGTCAGCTGAAGGGGATCCGTCTGCTCCACCGGGCAGACTCCCGGCGACCAAGAGGTATTCTAGCAGTTTCACCCATCGCTACGCCCTCAGTGCTGGCAGCGAGGGAAGCGCTAAGGAAGGGGGAGCAGGGGAGAAGGCTAGCTTCCTGAGCACGAAGACCGAGGATGACGATTTGTCGAGGTTTGTACAGGACATCGACGCGCGGGAGCCGCTGAGCGGTCGGCATTTCCAATACGGTGGGCAGTTGAAATTGCAGGGACAAGGCCATGATCGGGAGGAGACCCTGAAGGGCAAGGAAGTGGATCCGCAGGAGCGCGGAGATCGACCACGGCTCAGGACAGCAGCAACTAGCGAAGCACAGAGCGCACCCCCCGCAGCTGTCCAACTCGAACGTGCTGTCAGCGAACCTACAAGCGAGCGTCCTAGCGTAGGATCATCTCTGCTCCTTACAGACCAAGTCGCGGTGGACGAACGTTTGCGACGTATGAACGAGGCGTTCATGGCCAGTCTCGAGGGTCTAGGCGGTCGACGCAGAGACTCGAATCAGGGCAGCCCACACAGCCAGGAGGGTAACACGAGTTCGGGCAGTGGCGATCGTCGTACGAGCACGGGGATAGACGTTTCGAACATCCGGCGGGGGCATAGAAGTAATCCTTCTACGGACGAATTAGACGATGCGTATGTGCGAGGCCTGATGCCCTTTCGACCGCGCCAGGGATCCGGAGCGAGTCGGTTCAGCATCGCGTCCGCTGAAGTCATTGGCAAGCTCGAGCTCGACGACGAGGCGAAACGCAGTCGTGGTCCATGAGAGCCCTGCTAGATGGCGATATCGATTGTGATTTGTGAAGGCCCTCAATATTTCCTATGAGCCATGTGATGGACTGGGTTGATGTCATGACCTCATCCTCCTCGTTTGCTCCTTTGACTCTTCTTTTACGTGCGTGTTTATAAACACACTTTCTGGCGGCTTCCGGACTGTCGGTGCATCTCATCCGTCCATCCATATTATCTCCAGTCTCACTTATGTATGTACACCTTACAGCGCTATGATCATTGTCCTTATATCCCCGTATGCATTAGTTACCACTGTTGTAGCACATATCTTATTTGCTCTGTTGCGAGAGATACAACCTCACGATCATGTTTCTTTGGGGAATTACAGTTCAAATCAAGGGGTTTGCCAGGATTCCGTTGGACAAGTCCTGCAGAATGGTGGGGTTGCGATAACTGCAGCAGTGAGAAAAAGCAAAGCATACTCAAAGCATCGATGACGATACATGCACGAGCAAAATTGAGTACAACATAAAATACAATGCACCTGATATGTCAAGAAGGGGGGCAGCAGAAATATACAGCGGACGGACAGGGCAGAAAGTCAGATCCAGATATCACGCCTCTGCGTACAAGACGTCAGATATACGAAACACTTTGAATGAAAACCAATCCGTACCTCTCTTAGTTAAAATGAAATTGGCAAGGTACTCAATCATATCCGCGGTCTCTTCGCCGACGGGCCTGAGCCACTCCTCGGGAAGAGAGAACCCGTACTGAAGAAGCATTAGGGAAAGCAAGCGTCTGAGATACATAGCGAACTCACAGTGCCCGTGTCCCGCAGGTGAACCGCGTAAGAGTACTTGACGCCTGCCTTCTTGTACATCCAATCGATGACGTTGCCGGGAGCGCGGTAGAGTGTGTCGCACAGCGACCCAGTCTGGTTGTTTCGCAGCTCAACGGACTATCTGGGAATTCTAGGAAGACTACGAGACGTACCTTGAACGTCGTTCCGTGGGACCGTCTGGCCGCTTGTGCAGCACCGAGCGCTGCTTCGAGGAGGTCTTCCGCGTCCTTCGGCACCTTTTTGCAAGAATACGAGTACGGGATCGAGACTGTCGAGATTGCACTATCAAGCTTCTATTCCAAGCGACCTGGATGAGTGTTCAACTCACTCATCTGACCATAGGCCCGCAAATCGACGAAGGCCCTCAATCGCGGGATGGTCGTAATGAAATTGGCGACGTTGTTCACCTCCGGCGCCTCGAAGGGGCGGTGCCCGGGAAACCAGTGGTGACAGGGCTGCTTCTTGTATTTATTCTTCCCCCATTTGTGGCCCTAATGGAGATCCAGCACGCAGAACAAAGGTGAAGAGCAGGCATGAATCGTACCCAGTTCCTTCCCATGTCGAGACCAACGCAACGATCGTCCGGGCCTAGCGCCATCCGATTCTTATACCATAATCTATCCGTCGACCAGGTGTATTCGTACCCATCAGGATTCGGAAGGGGTATGATGTAAAAATCCTGCAATGACCAACGCAAGCCGGGCCCGTCAGTTCATGATCCCAGTACGTCACCATATACAATAATCATAATTATCGAAAACGACTGGAATATCAGGGACGACTTTACGGGCATATGACACTACTTGCTTCAACACTCGTGGAAACGTGGCCCGCGGAATTATAAGTCTACCCTTTCCGTTGATGGAATGCATCCTTGGACCACCATTGTCTTCTACGACCGCGCGGCCATAAACAGAGCGTCTACAATCTGGCAAGTGGTATTATTATCCCCGATATGACAGCTCGACAATGATATCGGAGAGAATAGCGCCGCCTATCCGCGTTGTGGCCACCATTTTATGCACCTGTTCCAGTCAGTGACTGATTCCCAGAATATACCGCTGTCACAGTGACCTGGGGTATCCATCCTGCAAATCAGATCTCTAACAGTCACCACCGGAGGAAGGAGCGCCAGTATAATTCGAAAGACCACGTCGTGACCGACCACAAAACAGGTAGAACTCGGAAGACTTACATAGGTATTCAGTAGATGAGACAGAGAGCCCTTTTCGGAGGAGTTGGAAACCAGAGCATGTATCAAGTACAGCGAAGCGGACGTGGCTACCCACTATATGGAGGGAAAAGAGTGCACGAATTGTTAGCTGATACCATAATCAATACGGTGTTCGCGTACCTCGCGTGAATGTTGCGCTCCGTTAATCATGAATCCTGATTTCTTGCTCGCCGAGCCCCTCACTTTCCTCGTGCACGGATCCGGCGAGCTGATCTTCACTCCAACCATCTCCCGCCCTTCCCCGCTATGTCCCAGTGGTATCAGAGTTATCTTGTCTGGATGCTGGTCTGCGAGGGATTTTAGGAAGTCACGGATCGCTGGTAAGGGGTGGTAAGCAGCATGATATGTTGTGTTCAGGGAGGTTATGTCGCTCAGGTCAGGAAGAGGAGGGTATGGGGGCGTATCGATATGAGATGATGCAAGTGGAATGGATGTGTGTGCTCGGTTCAATAAAGCGGAGGCTGAGCCAGATGATAATGGAAAGTAGATGTCGATGTACGAGGGGGTAACCTGCCAGACGTCTAGCGGCTCCTACAGCATTTTGCAGACATATTAGCCACTCAATCCCCCCCCCTTAATAACTCCATAGCTCGTGTAGATCAGCTTGAACGCACCGGCTCATCCTCCAGCAACCCCAATATTTCACTACATTGCTGGCTGCTCGCACAATGGAACCGTCTCAGCTGGCCCTGCTCTTCCCCTGTTTCGTCCTGTACGTTCGGCCATGAGAGACGCTCTTGTTCTGCCTGTGGTGGGATGGAGGTGGCTCCCACAAACGACGCACACAGCGGCAAGACCAGGAGCAACAACGAGGAGCGCATGGCCGCCGCGGTCGCGGTGAGAAGGAGGAGGAAAGTTCTGGTCGCGTGACCGCAAATATCGCTTCCTGCTTTTGACTTCCACCTACCGCTCAATCGCAATAGTTGTCGGCAGTCTGTACAAATCTGTTAGAGTTTACGACCCTTAGGACCCTTATGGCTCTGCTCAACAATGGGCCTGGATCGTCGAGGGTCTTAATTCGACGAAGCGGATCATGAAATGCAGGTTTCGGTTCAGTGTTTGTGTAAAGCCGGGTACGTCGATGTAGTCTACGCTCCGTTGGAATGCTGTTGCTCACTAGCTATGTCCAACGAGAGCCTGAGGTAATTATGAGGGTTGCTTTTTTGCAATCATGTAGCAAGGACATGCCCGTTGCTGTATCTAGCAAAGGGAAACTTCACAAGTTTCCGTTGCCTCTCGCCGACCTTCATCTTGATTTACGAAACATCGTATGCTGCAAATCCTCAATGATTGCCACACGAATTGAGCGGCGGTCAATGAATGCATTGACGCCAAGCTGACGTCGTACGTACAGTACGGTGACTTCATTGCTGCAGTGTCCATTTCATCTGACCTTCCATCCTTATCCTTATCCCCATCACATTCCGAACTTACATACTCGTAGACCCACGCCAGGTAAGAGGGGCCCTGGCCGAAGCTTCATAACAGCAAGAGGACGTCAGCGGAATTGAGTTCGTGCTATTCTTGCCCTCGGTCTCCCAAAGCTTATCCGCTACTCAGCGGGTTTCCATAGTAGATACATCTCTGAATTTGGCACTTTCTACGTTTTTTTGCTGGAGAGAAGTCTGGTTTGTTCGGAAGGTAAAGAGGTCAACGGAACATCCCAATGTTCCTTTGATCTGCGGCCCTTCCGAGTGAACGCAAAGCCAACTGAGTGTTCTTCACGAAAATTCTCCCGTGCCCTGTTTGGACTTTACTAGGCTATTCCCAGCGAAAGAGGTGAACAGCACCGTGAATACGGCTCTCCACGTTGCGCATCGGGTATTGTCTGCATTTGTGGAATATGAGACGTCCTATAAATGGCTGAGACTCAACATTGAGTATGCTTGCGAACGTGCTCGGACTATTACTGTTCCCCGTGAACACTCAGGTGCAGCATTCGCGAGATACACTTGGTAAGGACAGTTATCGCTAATCTGCAGACATGAGATTCGTTGGCTCTCCTTTCGTTATCGAGCTATTCTACCCTAAGCCAATCCAGAGTTCATCCGTCCGGATCGCGACAGACTTGCCATCTCCGACTATACGCTCATTGGGCTGCCTTCTTCGACCACCATGCTCTCAGGGCTTCCTTGCCGTGTCAACTGGAGGAGCAGCCGCTCGATGGTCTCCAGTCTTGACTCTATGGACCCGTGCGCACTGTGTATGTCGGAACGGACACAAGATATCATAGGATGCGTCCACTCGTGCATCGTCTCTTTCTCCTTTGCCGAAGCCCCTTTCACTTTCATGAACTTGCTGTCGTCCAATAGCCAGGGTCGTACCCTCTCGTGAATGTCATCACATTTCTGACATATCAGTATGTGCGCTATAATATGTGCGAGTTAGCAAGTCCCCTACGATACCGCAGCATACTCACGCTTGCCGCAGACTGTGCAGAACCAGCAAGGTGCGTCGTCCGGGATAGGCTGGACACAAAACGCACACTTCACAGATGCATTCTTGTTCCTCAACACCTGGTCCGCCGAATGCATGGCATGCCACGCTTGGTCGGTCACCCTTGCCGTGTCCCGCAGATGCAAGTAATTCCGTAACTTAAGAAGGCGGTGGATCGGCATGTGCATCGCATGCTGGCGGTCATGGCTGATGTCGCAGGCGAAGGTGCAACAGTTACCGCATATGTTGATGGTCTTCGCAGTCTCCGTGCAATCCAGGCACATGTATCGGGAGCCAATAATCCGTTGACCGCATCGCTCGCACTCAGACAGGCTGATAATCGTCAGTAAATGCAGCAATATGTGAGAATAATCAGGCGCACAAATGTATGTTCACTCTGCGGGCAACATAACGCGCCAAAGGCTCCAATACCTTCTTGATATCGGAGGATAGTTCAGTCTTAAGTTGTTGGAGATTTTTCTCGTCTTGGGTACTTGGTGGGTGTAGCATCATAACTTCCGCCCAGCCGTTGTCGGAGATGTAGTGCAGCATGCTCAGCTCAAGGTACATTTTCACTTTCTCTTGGTCGCGGCCGGACCGGGGAAGAACACTGTTGTCGGCGCATCGAAGGACTGCGTCGACGGTGGTCGACCACTGACCTAGTGTCCCTTCGCTTCCATGACCCTGCATAATCATATATCTATGGTGGCTCAATAAGTGAAAGGATCATGGACAACTCACTGTATTGTGTAGGTTGCCGAGCGACATACTGTTGCCGCGGCGCTGTGGCCGGTGTGAATTTCTGCCTGGACCGAGTGGACCTTCATGACCATGTCAGATAATACAACGTGTCACTAGGAGCTGATGGCTCACCATGGTAGCATTGACCTCTCGCCCGAGAAACTTCTATCGGCATCGAAACGTTGTTATGATGTTTACTACCTAGAGCGTCATAAGTATTCATACTTGAGCATGGAGGATCTAACTACCGTTCAGCGCTGCGAAAACAGCCAGATTTGCGGGCGGGGGCAAGTGTAAAAGCGGGAAAGATAGAGCATCCGTCGGTACAAGCATGTGATCGTCTTGTAACTTGCGTCTTCGTTGCTCCTTCACCATATAGTCATCGTAGAAGTCAGGCTGGAATATTTGGTCTGTTTGATCGATATAGTACAGCTGTCGTGGTTCCTCGATCAGTTGCTAAAGATACAAACACAGAAATAATGGGAGCCACCAGCCCGTATGCGTAATTCTGCAAGCGCCTCAGCGGGTCATGGTTTTGCTGCTGGAATATTTCTGACATAGATGTCAAAACAGAGCTTGACGTGGGACCAACATACATACCTTTCAGAGTGCTGATGCGGTCAGTGGTGCAACGCCATATAACTACGAAGCTCTCCGCAGCGAGTGTCAGTTCTCGTTCGTCCAGGGTCCCTGAGCACGCAAGGTGCATGATCAACGCAAAGCGTTCCAAGAGCAGGTGGATGAGAGGTGCTATAAACTAGATAAAGTATCAGTGATTGACCGAGGTCCCAGCTAAGTATCACCGTACGCTTTCAAGTCTTCCCTTTCCTGTAACCAAGCGCAGGGTATCGGGTGCATCAAGATGAAACTTGTGCCGGCCCAGATTCTCTCTCAAGCGCTCCTCTTCGGCGTCGACATGGTCGGAAAAGCGATGGTAGAGTTTCTCATTGCAGTCATGATGCTCGAGGCCTTCCTCAATGCCCTTTTGAAGACAGTCGACCAATAACATAACCGGAGAACCGAGAATTCGATCCACTAAGCCGCGATTAGAAGTCAGAACTTGATCCTTCAACGCGAATATAGTGTTAAGAGAATGCTTTATCTTTTCGTGATAGTGGAATAGCGCCTGCGGAAACCCTGGTTATAAGCAGATGTGTCAGGGGCCATAAAATAAGCTATCTGGTAAAGGTCCTCACCAACTGCCCAGTACGCCATCCAGTATGGAAGACTATTGATGAGGGATCAGCACTTTCCCGAAACGCATGCTGAAACACAGACCTCCATGATCTCGGACGGAGCCTTGGATCTGAGAATTCATTCGCTTCTACTACGCTGATAAATCCCGAGGCGTCGTCGTCGAATGCTTCTATGAGCGGCTGCAGTCTGACGACTCCGATGTATTCCAGTGCCCAGCGGTCCCGGTATCCATATGGTGGCATTTTGGAGGAGTCACAGACCGCCATCGCGTACTTATCTTCAGGGTTCGATGCAACCTCATTATGAAGCTGACCTTCATGAGGTGCATTTCCCATCGAATGAAGTCTTTCGATGTAATGGTCGTGAAGAGCCACAACGAAATGTCGTGCCTTTACCGTGCCTCTCCATCCCTATGGCGCTTTTTTCAGTGCATAACACGGGGTGCGATTCAGAGGCTGACCATTTCTTTCCATATGAAGCGGAGTTCCTGCAAAGCCAAGAGATAGCAGATCATCAGGTATGACTTCGGCCTAATGCAGAGCTACTCACAGGATCGAGAATCCTCTCATGAGGTCCGGAAGACAACGTGTCTATGATCCTGTCCGCCTGGCGGCGTGTCTCCTCTCTGACTTCATTCATCTGAGACGCGAATTTTCTCTCGAAGATATCCCTGTTCTTCTCGAGCATTGTGTCCACATCATCTTTGAGCTGGTTCCGGACGGAAAATACAAGTTTTGCCTTGACTTGTGGAGAATCATTTCCTGCCGTAGAACTGATCAAGGAGGTGGCAGCGGGATCGATCTTCTCGCTGACTGTCACTAATTCTTCCAGCAGGCCATCGTCTTCTAAACAGGTGTCTGGACCACCGTGCCCTTGGATGAATCTCCATATCTCTCTCTCCTTTGGGCTGCGGCAAAGCTCGAACAATATAAGCATCCTCGTCAAGCCCCCGCCTTGCGTGTGCTGAAGCTCTGCGCTGAGCGTGCTGATAGTATCCTGTAAGTTGTCTACCTTGCTGTCAACTTTTCGCAGATCAGCACCGACATCATCGACCATAACGGCGGTTAGGGTCGCAATACGGACACGAAGTGACCGATTGAGCCTCTGAAATTCCTCGGAGAAGCGAGTAAACTTGGGTGCCCATTCAATGCTTTTCCAGATTTTTACTGTTGGAGGGTTTTCCATCGACTTTCATATTGGTTCAGAAATAAGTACTGACCTACGAGTTTCTTCTTGTAAAAGGTATCGCATAGCTCGGTACAATCGTTGATCTCCTTGGCTATAACGCTGAGGTCACCACGGAGGTCACCTAGCTTCTCAGATACCCCTTTTTGCAGGCGTTCGAGTGGCAGGCTGGCACCAAGTGAGATGGAGTGTGAAGCCATATATGAGAGAAGGCTCACACAGTTAGGGACCACATCATATCTTGCATTTCTAAGAATAGAAGTACGACGGTGTGTTCCGTTTTCCGCCAATGTTGGTAAAGTTTCATCGCCGCCATGAAAGGTAGGATGGCGACTGCAGATGACAATGTGACGCGTAAGTATGAGTGTCAAAGCAGATGTGCACATAAAGAGCGCAGAACGAATTTTCAAAGATTGGATGGAGCTTTGCCAGTCCTTCAAGAGCTTGGCGTAATATCTCATGATTTTGTTCGAAGTTAAGTATTCTTTCCTGAAGTGTTGCTGACAGATTTGATACCTCATCTGGAAAAACCCATTATGATGGTCCTCGTCAAGACACGTGTGGTATACTAGACTTACCTGAGCGCGTCCCTTTTGCAGGAAAGCGTGGATATTCGCTGAGGTTCTGAAGACTAGTCTGAGTACCTTCGAAACCACTGCCCTGCTTGGTGTCTGCCATTGTAAGGAGGGGGGATAGTATCAATGAAAGAGACTGAAGGGCGGGAGTAATCGTGTAAGTCTTATATACTCGGTAAGATATCCTCAAGCGAGCGAGAGAGTTCTGCGATCGTGTAAGCGTGGTGGGAGAAATTCCGAGCGTATGGAATAGCACTACCCATGATGCAGCGGCGTCTTAAGAAATTAAGCCCCACAAACGTTCCAATGAAGCAGGCGCGACAGACATCCGCCTGACAACCCCCGACCATCCATCATGAGGTCATCATAACCTTACAACTAGCCTACGCATATGGTGCCGGGATATTGGCGATAAACGACAGGATCCAGGGGTTATCCCATGGTCTCCAACGTAGAGTGTGTGCTCCTTGTGAAACCTGCTATCGATGCGGCCATCCTACACATCTGGAAAGATCACTGGGCGTTCAGGGCCCTTCCTATAACTTTGGAGAAGGCAAGAAGGATAGAACATAATACCCTGTATTTATTTCGTTATCATCTCTTCACATAGCCAACAGGGCGCTGGAGATAACAGTGCCCGTCGTAGCGCCATCGCGCCTCGCCGTCGACGCATGGCAACTTCGTGCGGTGTGCCCGCCAGGAGATATACCCGAGTCAGAGACTGCTCATACCATAGACATTCCCAGAGGCGCTGGCCACTATACATAAGTCTCGGCTTGGCTTGCAGGATCGTCGTCGATGATGAGGGACCAGAATGCACCGTAGACGCCCGTGGCACGCGTTTTCATCGTGCAGCAGGGCTCGCATGTACCTTTCTCCGTTATCAGGCGCTGTTGAAACCAATCCTCGACAATACGTCGTACGGCTGGGTGCCCTATATACCGTGATATCAATGGAAGAAGAAGCCATGCAGTATTATGACTTGTCTTACTGTGAATATAGTCCAGAAACCTTACCCGATACCGCGCATCCCAGGGACAAAGAGATAGATTTCTGGAATTCAGCCCCAAGTCCTCCAACAGACGTAGGTTCCGAGCCAGATGCACGATTCAACGGAAAACAAGGATAGCTGACATTCAACTCACCGCGCTCGAAAGGCATGTGATCGAAAGTTCTCTAAATAACAAATATCACCAGAACAGCAATCGTCGCAGGAGATATCACCCTGAGTTAGCGAGCGCCTAACAGCCGAATTCACGCATTCGCGTCTCAAGTGCCCCGACAACCAAGTCATGATCAGTCATCGATAGGGGACTTGAGCTGAGACAATCCTGGTGTATTTTGGCTGTGCCGCTAGGTTACCGCCTTCCCGTAACTTACATAGGAAGTCATGCACCTTTCGCCGTGCCGCACAAGCTTACGCGGGGAATGAGAACGAGAAGTCAGCGGAGTTTCAGAGATGTTCTATAATATATTGATACACTGTACAGTCTTCATTTGTAGTCATTCCTATGTTGTTCTTCACTCCGCCGAACGCGCGCTTATGTTTACGCCTTTGAGTTGAAGATATCGACGAACTCTGGCTTCAACGACGCTCCGCCGACAAGGAAACCGTCCACGTCCGACTGGGACGCTGCAGGTTCAAGTCATGAGTATTCAATATAGAGACACTAAGGGAGGAAAAAACGCACCAAGCTCACGGGAGCTGGCTCCAGTGACGCTACCACCGTAAATGATCCGTGTCTCCTCGCCGACCTTGCTGCTGATCGACTTGGTGAGCCACGCGCGCACCTCGGCGTGCGTCTCCTGCGCCTGCTGCGACGTGGCGACTTTGCCGGTGCCGATCGCCCAGACAGGTTCGTAGGCAATGACAATTTTGCTGGGGTCGGGCGAACACGTTAGGTTGTCCTTCGATATGGATATAACAATGCACTCACCTCCACTCCGACTCCTTCACGAGCTTGACTACGGGCTCGAGCTGGGCCTGGACGACTGAGGTTGTCTTGCCCGCTTCTCTCTCTGCGAGCGTCTCGCCCACGCAGAGGATGACGCTTAGTTTCTTGTCAAGCGCCGCGCGTGTCTTCTGTGCGATGAAGTCGGAGGACTCGTGGAACAGGGTACGACGCTCCGAGTGACCTGATTGTTATATAAGTTTTCAAAGAGATGCAGTTCAGGCTATGCAAGACAAATTGGAGCTGGGACGGGCTAGAAAAGGAACGTACCGAGGATAACGTACGGTATGCCGGCGTCTGCGAGCTGCGCTGGACTGGAGCAAAGTCAGCGATACTCTGAGAGCACGAATAAGGAGGGGAGAAATGGGTTGTGTTCGCAGGCTTTTCGGACTACTGCGATTTAGCCGGCAGCGGCCAGTGCATATGCTGAGCCTACGAGTCCGACGACTCGCATCTGTATGTAGGCTCAATCCCCGCTGGCCGGCACCTGCGTGTCTTCGGAACAGCCACCTCCAAGCTGACACGCGTGTTCGGAACTGCAACAACTAAGCATACCTGATCTCTCCGGTAAACGCGCCCGAATCCTTGAGGTAGCAGTTCTGGGCGGCTACTTGAACGTGCTGATTCTTCAGCGCATCGCGGATGGGCAGAAGGTAGATGGCAGGAGGGGCTACAACGATATCTGAGAGCACAGAAACTGTTATTCTTCGTCCCTATCAACAAATAATGCGCGATACGTACCGACATCCCCCTTAACCTGAGCTTCATTTAGCAACTTGACCAGGCTGTCCGCCGCCGCCTTGGTGGCGGGGTTCATCTTGTAGTTTCCACCGACGAAGAATTTGCGAGCCATTGTAGTCTTAGTTTGGAAGAATTTGGGCCGACGAAAGCAGGTTATATGGCGGCGGAGGGAGGCTGGAACGGACTGGGCGGCTGTATATCGATGGATTTCGAACGCGTCGGGATCCAGTGCGGCGATCTTGAGGAGATCTGCGTAGCCTTCTCAATTACGTAATGCTTGCCACACCGCCCACCGTCCTACGGAAATATTGTGTTGAGTCTATGACACTGTCACATCTGACGCTCGTCCTAAAAATCAACGTCTTATGGGAACGATAGCATTCCGATCTCACGGATGCTCCTCCCAATGGAGATAAATTGCCAAGGATTCATCAGATGTGGTAGTGTGGCAATGGACAGAGGCGCCCATACAGGCGCTGGGAATAACCTTTCGGACCTGTCCTAGTCTATTTTACGGGAAATCATGTTCGCTCTCGTATACAGACAGGGTTGCATCAACTTTATCCTCAGGTACTGATAGCAACCAGTCCTTGCATCTCCCGCCTTGTCCGCGCGTTGCGGCCGATAAAAGCGCCGCCCTTCATGCTCAGACCGAATCCACATCCTCTCAACGGTCGTCCGTTGTCGTCTGCTAGCGATGGCAGCTGCAAATGCGACTTCCCTTGCTCTCTTCAACAGCAAGATATGCCTGGATCTGTGGAAGACAGCTAACGACAGTCTCTCTTCTCAGAACGCGACCAGCGAGGCCATGCTTACCCAATGCATCGGCACCCTACTTGGAGCGAACGAAGATAACTTTTGGGTAGCCTATTGCAACAATCCGCCGGACGACGGATGTCCTTACGGATACTGCCCCAACGGGGACATCGCTGGTGAGTGGCTGCGAGTCAACCTACGATAAGACAGAGCTGACCCTATATGAAGGCTTTCTCACACGTCTCTCCGGTGAGTCTAAAGCTTCTGAGAGATACATTTCGACTGATGTCATTTCCAAGCCTATATCATCTCTTTTGCAACAGGTATTACGATTTCCGTGGTCGACTGAATCAAGTGCTGACTTCCTCCTTGCAGCATGCGTGCTGAACATGGGGAACAATAGCTCCGAAATAATCTGGTCGCAGTTATTGACCTTATACTCCCTCTTGGTTTCCGGTTTTATATCACTGGCAAAACAGCAGCTCGCCAGAATCCACGCCGAAGTCGCACTTCTCATTGTCGGGTCTCCGCTGAGTTGCTTTCTCTGGGGCCAGACATTCTGGAACCTCGCCCGCTTCCGCAGAAGACCTTGGACAGCGTCGACAATCGCTCGCCACGTCCTCCTTTTGGTATCCTTCGGGCTTTATCTTGCCTTCATCATTATCACACCTCTGCCTAACAAGGTATCCTCGTTCTTCACGCAAGAATCGTGCTACCAAGCGGGACTCGATGTGTTTGCCCCGTTCTTTTTACTCGCCAAGGCATCTGTCTGGATATTCCCTGTGGAGTTCCTCGTGCTCTTGTTATTCGTGCTGGTAGAGTGGAATAGACGGAAGTCGGCATGGCTTGAGCGCCAACGCGGTTGGTACCTCTCCTGGGCCAATGCCAGGGTATTCGCGTACGTGGGATTCGAATGCCTGACATGCGTGGCTGAGGTTTACCTTTGAACACGCAACAGACGCCAAATGTGGACAAAGTACCCGCATACCCGTTTCATGGCGTTTATAGGCGTTCCTTTCATTGTCTGGGTGTGGGTCACGGAGGGAACAGCGGTACTCAGCGGAGTAGGGATCGTTCCAGGCGGCTCCGTATCCTTTGGACAGGTACGTATAAACATCGATACGGCTAATTACTCGACGCTGAATTACTTTGTCCACAGTTGCTGGCGCTATTTGCCGCTGTCCCTCCTGTGCTAGCCATCTTTCAGGTCGCAAGCGCACGTGAAAGCAAACGACGCGTCTTGCGTGCCACGCCAGCGAAAACCACCTTCCGCATAAGCAAATTCAACATGCAGTCTTACGACGGATTAGATACATTCGACCCTGATGGCACCGAGAAGCTGCAAGCGTATTCGGAAATCACGGAGAAGTTCGCTCCTGAACACCTTGGCCATCATCGCGGTACGGCTGCACCAGATGAGGGGCTCACCTTCCTCCAGTGGTGGAAGGATCTCCTACGTTCCGCGATCACTCACTGGGCGTGGCTGATGTTGACCGCCCTTATTATCGGTGCAGCCGTTGGATTGGTTTTTACATTTCGTTATCTGTACGCGACGGGTTTCCAGGTGACCGATTCATAGACCGATGAGTTACATGGGCAGTGCCTTCGCATAGCAATAGGGTGTACATGTATATTACAGGGACAATCTTCTGGGCTCAGGCAAAATTAATTTGGCACATCGCATCAACGAGAGGAGCAGTGATGTGTCTATGTGTGGTAGTTTGCCTTACAGTGGAAGGACGATGGGGATGTGTTCTCAACGGTGCGTTGCTTAGCGAGTGTGGCAGCTTGAGAGAACACCTGTATTGAATATTCATCTCATTCATTTTCTCCATGCCGGTGGATAAAGTCCATGCGTTGTCCATGCAGTCTTGCGATGTCTGCGCGAAACACCGTTATATGCCGACCGTCCTCTCTCCTGCCAAAGAGGGAGGCAATTCGGTCGGACTAAGTAGCGAAGCACATTGGAAGCACATTACCTTGCGACTAGCAAGGCCTCTGCTTGTCGGGAATTGAGCCATCAAAACCGTATTTGTTTATTGGGGGAGCTTGCTCCCCCTTTGTCCGAGTAGGGGCCGCGAAATGCAAAAGCGATTTCCCACGCCACCCATGCACTGGAACCCAACATTAGGGTTAGCGCCACCGCTGCGTCGGCTCTTGCCGACGAGCGCGTCTCTGCGTCCGTGCCACGTGTCCCGCCGCGTCTGTTCCCGCCCGACTTGCGCTTCCGCCGGTGAGAAAAATTGCCTGTCTCGTCCGAGAACATCACTTTGCAATTGCACCCTCCTTCTCTGCTTTTCTGATCCTGTAGTCTATTTCTGGTTTTGAGGAGTGCCGTGCACTGCCAGCTTGGGAAGAACTGCTTAAGTGTTGTGAAGTCTACCCGCATTGCCATAGTTTGCTGTCGCCAAACAGAGTCTTTTCATAGCTGTGGGACCTCTCTCAACCTGTGGTGTCAGTAGCTTGGGCACCATTTGCCCTGTGTTCATAGTACTTCCACCTGCCTTGCAGAAAAGGGGTACATAGAAACGGTTGAGTGTTATACTCGATACTGCCTTGCGGCATTACATAGTTGTGCTGTGGATTCTTGTAAGGTCACTTCCTGAGGACATGGGTTCAACCCCGTAGGACCATACTAGGCAACTTTCTGGCGGCTTCTGGGCCTCTGTGATCTAGACTGTATTTCCAAGTGGTGCTCCACTGGACCTAGGCGTAGGACTCACAAGAGAGCACCACCTGGATTTGCTGCAGGGACACTGCTGAGCATGGAGTCTCCAAACCCTTCCCAGCCAATTCTCATGGAGTTTCTTCCATGGGCTGCATCACAACTACTTGAGATCCACTTCCCACAGGTTCCTCATTCAGACGATATACCTGCTGGAACCCCGGTTGGTCAGCAACTGGCTGCAATACAGGCATACAACTGGTGATATGCACTGACACACAACAATCACCAAGGACCAAAAGAAATAAATCTAAACCCCGTGATATGGGTGAAGGTGGTCCGAGACAACTGAAGGGTATTTAATAGTTTGAGGGGGAAAGGAGGAGTAAGACGCCGTAGGGTAGCCCGTAGGAAGACCTAGAAAAATAAAACAAAAACCTTGGCACCTGAAACAAATACTAAGGGACGCTCCGGAGTATTTGTCTCCGGAAAGTCGCAAACAAAGTCGCAAACCACGGAACCGAGTGTAGGTTCGGGCCCACGGGAGTAGGAAACGCTAGAAAGACTTGTTTAATTTTATTTCGCTATGTGGGACTCACCGGAGCTAATCGAATCGATGGCGGAGATAATTCACTCGACGAGTCAGGCCTATTGGCAAAGCTAGGATCAGTTATAATTCACTAGGTTCAACGCTTTTGAACTTCTCGGGTTGCTGAGATTGTAACGCTAATTCTCTGAGATGGTGAAGTGCCAAAAAACTTGTTTTTTCATATGCTACTTTGTACAATTTATACTACAGGAATGGCTTTGCAACCGTCTGGAGATAAATAAAGACTGCTACCCACAGGATTGCTCAGCACTTGCCGCCATTATACCATACACCATACAACTCTCTTGCACTCCCACTTGCTCGTCCCCGCCCCTAGAGGTTGCCTTGACGCTCTGCCATCTGCCCTAAGCGGTCCCATCACTCCATGCGATGTGCCAGGCATGTGCTAATTACCTCCGGCCGCTCACTTACTGATGCTGGCCTCATGGTGACTTGTGTTATGATTTTCCCATGCTTATCTCATTCTATTTCCATTCCGAGCATTGCTATTGGACAGTACCTTTCGCTGAGTCGACCTTCCCATGGACACTATCTTCTTCTCACACATTATCTCCCTTGACTCACCTTCTACCAATGGGCGCCCTTGTATTTCTCATTTCTCTGAGTTACATTCTCACAGGATAGCTTACGTGTCCTTTCTTATTGATATCTTCTTTGGGCATTAACCCCTATACCAGTTACTATATATACTGTAGCAAAACCCATGTATTCCTTAGTTCAACCTCCTGTTGAATACAGCGATTACCTGGACTCTTGACATGACTGTTGGCATTGGCCCGGCGAGACCTACCTTTCAGTATGCTTACTGAGGTAGTGACAACATAACTGTTGGCACGTGGCCCAGTTATCTCAAACGACTAGTTAGGACATTGCTTCCTAACAACTTGTATGTGTCCGCACCTTCGGTATCTTGACGGAAACGAGGGGGAGTGAGTGCTGGAGGGTGGGCATGAGGACGATGCCCCTTGATAGAAGTGCCCACGGCCCCGGAGCTAATTCATCTAGAAGTTGCATTGGTTAAGTCGCTCCGGAGCTCCTGTTTGCGGAGATAAATCACGGAATCGGTCCGTGTACGCCTCGAGGATGCTAGGAAGTCCGGAGCTAAATAGAGCAGTTCTTTAGAGCCCATAGAAGCCTAGTGGCGTGTGAGTGCTGTGTCGAATAAGCTCCGGAGGGCTTGTACGATGTGCTGAGTCCGCATTTTCGGGGGTCAGACGATCCTGAGGCTTATCACCGGTGAGGTGTGGGCTACAACTCTCAGGTGCCTGAGCCTATGGGTACTCCACCAGCCCAGGTGGCCTCTCCTCATGCACCATGTGAACGGTTGTCATCCCTTGAATATGTTACCCCTCCACCTGCTCAATTCCGGAATCAGTCCTCATTGCTTGAATATGTCACACCCATTACACCACCTCACCATCAGCAATCGCCCATTGCTAACAATTCTTTGCAAGAAGACATGGTACCATTCCCTCTGACCTGTGGAGGTGGTCGTGAGTTGCATTAATATTTTGATTGTGAGAATTCTCTAAGCTTTGCTGTAGCACCTCTTACACCTTGGTGCCATGGATCGCGCTGACATTCTCAGCGTACACCTCAGACCCCTGTGACACGTGAGCATAGTAAACACAGTCACATCTCAGGACATGCAACACCACCATCTGAGCCTGTCAGTTTGGCAACTCTTCATCCATCTACTCCTGAGAGCCCTGATCCTTTCACTGGGAATGACTTGGTGCCTTTCTTCTGGACAACTGGTGGTGGTCGTGAGTACTATTAAATAATTCTTTGTCAAAGGAAGTACACTGATATCCCATTCAGCTCCTCGAACACCTCCCAAGAATGGTGCTATCCCTGTCCATCCCCACACTCCACCTTCCCTGTCACTTTGGCTGAGAAATCGGATTGGTATTCCTGCTTCTCCTGTTCTCCCACATGTCTTGCATTCTCCACTGCCACCCAGTCCAACACAAGATGTCTTTCGTCCACCCACCCAGTTGCCTGCTTTTGACATCCCTGCTCTTGGTCCGGAACTTTTTTCTGTTCCTGATGCTGGCACGGAGCCCCAGAATATCCAGGCTCACCATCAGGAAGAGGAGGAGGAAGAGGGTGAGAATGGCCACAGAGTCCAAGGTCTCCATGGTTGCTCTCCTGCACGCATTGTCAGCAACACACATCATCCTATCGATAACTGAATAACCCATGGACATAAAGCACGAGATCAGCATCCAAGCAATCCACGACTTCTCTGGTGCACTGCATCAGGCCATTGAGTCTCTCTGGAGGTATTTGGAGCATTGAAACAATGTGAAGGATGCTGTGAACGGCAGAGAAGGAACAGGCAGAGATGACAACAGGAGCACAGAAATGCAGAAGCTCAGAGGGAGATACACCAACAGGAAGACGTCTCAAGATCCTTACCTGAGCACCAGCCACATCAAGGTGGCCATGTGCCAGTTCCTCCACCTACACCTCCACCAGCTGCTGATGAACCACTTCCACAACATCACAATGAAGACTGTGCTGTATCTGCTGAGGACAAAGCCCTGTTGGATTCTGTTCGAGAGAAAATCATGGGACTGTCTATGGAGAAGTGTAATGGATGTCATGAGCAATGGTTTGATCTGGGAGTCAAGAATGGCCTATGCAGCAAATGCCAGAAGAACAAAAAGTTTCAACCATCAAACTGCATGTATCCTGGACCAGATGTTCCCAATCTTCCTGAGCTCAGTCAGATGGAGGAAATGCTCATATCCCTGTCCATGCATTACTCCAAGTCTGGCAGGTTCATGGTGGGCAATACAAGTACACTGGCCACATTTGCAACTTTCCTCGGGAGAATGCCCTCTTCTATGCCAAAGTACCACTCCTTCCTGAGCAATGTGAAGTGATTATCATGCACTGCACTAGAATGGATGATGAAACCAACAACACAATTCACCAGGACTTCCGTGTTTGACGAGCAGCTATTCAGCAGTGGCTTGAATATTTAGAGATACACCACCCTACATTCAAGGCCCACCATGTCACTGTTGACAGCGACTTGCTCCAACAGGTTCCTGAGGATGGATCTGTATTTGACTGTGTATGCAACATCACCACAGAGACTATGTCAGAGTCCTTTGAGGAGGGGCCACCTGAAGCAGATGAACCTGACCAGCAAAATGCAGCCCCCCTCTTCTCCCATGGATTTGTTCCAAATGTCCACACTGCCAATACTGAACTTGAGGAGCTTCATGCTGCAGCCTTCCATAATGACCAGCCCATCATCCTGACAATGCCTGAAGTCTGGATGAAGATGCTGAGGGTCTTGAATCTGAGATTCGCTTGGCTGAAGGGGCACATGTTATGTTAACATGTAATCTGTGGACATCAAAGGGTATGTGATCTAATTCACTGTCCTATATCCTAACTCAACTATGTGATAGGTGTTAGCAGCAGGCAGAACAGGGAAGCATAAGATGGTGGCCATAAGCACACCAGACCCAGACACATACACAAACTGAAGGCAAGGTCAATACTGTCCAATAGCAATGCTCGGAATGGAAATAGAATGAGATAAGCATGGGAAAATCATAACACAAGTCACCATGAGGCCAGCATCAGTAAGTGAGCGGCTGGAGGTAATTAGCACATGCCTGGCACATCGCATGGAGTGATGGGACCGCTTAGGGCAGATGGCAGAGCGTCGAGGCAACCTCGAGGGGCGGGGACGAGCAAGTGGGAGTGCAAGAGAGTTGTATGGTGTATGATATAACGGCAGCAAGTGCTGAGCAATCCTGTGGGTAGCAGTCTTTATTTATCTCCAGACGGTTGCAAAGCCATTCCTGTAGTATAAATTGTACAAAGTAGCATATGAAAAAACAAGTTTTTTGGCACTTCACCATCTCAGAGAATTAGCGTTATGATCTCAGCGACCCTCAAAGTTCAAAAGCGTCGAACTTAGCGAATTATAGCCGATCCTAGCTTTGCCAATAGGCCTGACTCATCAAGTGATTTATCTCCGCTGTCAATTTAATTATCTCCAGTGCGTCCTACATAGCAAAATAAAATTAACCAAGTCTCTAGCAATTTTTACCACTGCGGGCATGATCCTACAAAAGGTGTTGTTGCTTGCGACTTTAATTGCAACTTTTCGGAGATAAATACTCTGGAGTGTCAACTAGTGTTTGTTTCAGGTGTCAAGGTGTTTGTTTTATTTTTTCAGGTCTTCCTATGGACTACCCTATGGCATCTTACTCCTCCTTTCCCCCTTGAACTATTAAATACCCCTCAGTTGTCTCAGACTGCCTTCACCCATATCACGGAGTTTAGGTTTATTTCTTTTGGTCCTTGGTGATTGTTGTGTGTCAGTGCATATCAGCGGGTGGAAATGTGATGTTCAGTTTCTTATGCAAGGCACTGTTGTACTATAGACATGCAGAGAATGAGGACCGAAGCAAGAGTCAAGTCACAAGGTATACAGCCGGTGATAGCCGGCACTTCTCAAGTACCACATTACCTCGACTTGCCTAGTTCGGTGTCGTTCCATCCTATTATGGTACAGTAATTGTCGGGCGGTACATCGTGAGACCGGTTCATACACCCCAAGACCGTCAGATGAACGAAAACCTTCACAGAGTCAAGTTCTAGCTCTATGTCTTCTCTCTATACGATTCAGTCGACAAGCTACGGTGGTAGAGGCGCCTTCGCCACCTCAGAAATTACAGAAGGTACAGTCGTCCACACATCCCCCTACCCCTTCGCGCACGTAGTATGTAGAGTGTTCAGGAAGGAGGTCTGTGCATGGTGCTGGAGGTACACATGGGATGACGCTGGGAAGGGAAGTTGGCCCGTCAAGTTGACGGGTGAGGGAGGGGCGGGCAAAGGGAAGGGGAAGGAGAGGGACAGAGCACGAGGAGGGTTGTGGTTCTGCTGTGAATCCTGTAAAGAGGAGTGGCTGAAGGACGACCTAGACGGCTTTGCCATCGAAGTATACGAGACCATCGACCGGGAGGCAGCGAAGGCCTACAAAATCAAGCCCGCCCTTGGCTCGGGCAAAAAAACACGAAATGTGCTTGACCTCGCCGACATTGTTTCCCCCGACGTGCGAGGAGACGATGTCACGCAGGAGCTGGTGGACGATGTCTGGACCAAAGCAGAGGCAACTGCGCGCATGTCGTTCGGGAAGCGCAAGGCCCTCGCTGTCCCGCTCGAATACGAGCACGATGCCGACCTCGCGAGGTTCGTAGCTTCGGGCTTAATATCTGTTTACCGCCAGGAAACCGCTCTTTCCGCTCCCTTGTCCGCATCCTCTGCTACTACCTTCCCAAGGTCGCCAACTCCATCGCCTTCTCGTTCGCCCTCATCTTTGATCCGCGCGGAGTCTCCTTCGCATCGACCGATTTCATGGAACGAATTCTTATCGCTCCAGCCGAATGAAATTGCGTGCGTCCGCTCGTCCCCGCACCAGTTATCTCAGTGGATGCGCGTCTACCTATTCCTAGCCTCCATCTTCGCCGCCCACCCGCTGCGTGACCTGGCTGCAGACCCCACGTACGCGCGCGCGCTCTTCGCCCGCGACGCCGGGAACTCGTTCGGGATCTGGCAGCTCCCGCACGCAGATGAAAGCGAGATGTTTGGGTGGGGCGTGTGGGTCGACGCGAGTTACTTTAATCACAGTACGTCAATGCCCTTCCTGCACAATCTTGTTCTCTCTTCTCATACATTTCCTGAAACTACGGTAGGTTGTGCGCCGAACTTGGTGAAACGTCGGACGGGCCGAACTTTCTCATTTATCACTACCCGACCCGTGACGGTGGGCGAGGAGCTATGCATATCTTATGGAAGCGTGAGTGACGACATTAAGGCGAGGAGGAGGCGGCTTTGGGAGGGGTGGTGGTTCTGGTGTGGCTGCACGAGGTGTGCCCAGGATATGCGAGAGTCAGAACGCGGGGGCGATCCGGACGAAGTAAACAGCACGGAGAAGTAATCAAGGTGAGAGACTGGACTGGCGCTGCAAGCTGTCGACCGCCCGTTCGTTTGCTGAGTTTTTGAATGAATACTCAAAGTTATCGCTGGGATTAGCCCCGTTTCCTTTCGGACAACAGGTTAGGAGATCTTTCACTGGGCAGCTCTCCTCATCTGTCCTCCGACAGCAACCCGTTCGGTACACTACTGGTATGGCAGGAATGAGTATCTTTCAACACTACCAAGGTAACGTCCACGCTCTCTCCTCTCGACTTGAACCGCCTATCAATAGTGTCTGGTCAGTAAATTCTGTCCCAGTCACGAGAAAAAACGACGCCGAGTTCTAAAACGTCACTTGGTTCACTGAGGTCCTGCAGCGCCGTTCCATGGGATTGACTGGGACGAGAGACGATAAATTTAACTGCGGGTCAGGAGCAGCGCTTCCGCACCGCTTTCCGAGTGGACCGCTGATATTTTTATTCACCCTGTCACGTTGGACTACCGTGATAGGCTCTGGAAAGCTTACTTTCTGGTGCCCTCCACTCGGGCGTACTATGCCCCCCGCACGCGCACGCTATGGGCCAAACTGCGGAACTGTAAGTGGTCGATTTATTATAGAGGGCACTTGCACTCCAAGTTCTGCGGAAGCTTCTCTTCTCACCCAGAGCATAGACTTCCGGGGAGCAGGTATCACCCGTCTAGTATATCAATATGGATTGTGGTGGTATTCGCCCTCGTCGACTAGACGAAAATCATCATCTCTCAGTCCAAAATGGATAGCAGCGCCTCCCAATCGTCTCTCCATCACAGCAACGACGACACGGAGAAGCAATCGGAGCCGCTCACCACCACTGCCGTCGTAGGGCTCGAAAACGCGGACGATGGCGTACCGCGCAATCGCGGATTGTTCGCCAAACTATGGGCCATTGTGCAAAAGCTAGACAAGTACGGCGTAGAGGCGAGAGGCATCGAACGCGTACCTCCGACGGAACGTCCGCAGAAGAGCCCCTGGGACTGCTTCACGATGTGGTGTGCCGCCAATACGCAGCTGGGCGCGTTCAGTGGCGGCACGCTCGCTCCGGGGACGTTTGGGATGAGCTTGCGAGACTCCGTGCTGTGCATCGTATTCTTCAATATCCTTTGGACCGTACCGGTGGTACGTTATGACGGTCCTTCTCTCCTCGTTTGGCGCACAATGGCTTCTCCATAGGCGTATCTTTCAACTTTTGGTTGTCGCACCGGCTTGAGGCAGATGGTCTTCTCTCGATTCGCCTTCGGGTACTGGTTCTGTATGTTGCCAGGCGTAGGTCGTCTTGATCTCAAACGACGATATAGCCTGCTCACGGACCTTTAGCTTCTGAATTGCGTAGGTGCCATAGGCTGGACCATAATCAACACGATCGTCGGAGGCAAGACTCTCCGTGCCGTCTCCAGTACGCACCAGATCCCGGTCTGGGCTAGCAACATTATTATCGCAATCCTGAGCCTCCTACCACCTTTCGCCGGCTACAGATTTGTGCATAATTATCAACGCTGGTCGTGGATCGCTCCTGCGGTTATCTTCTTTATTATGCTGGGTACAGGGCTTCGCTATATGGAGGGAGGCACATGGGGCGCCACCGGGCCTTTGGAGGCTGCCACCGTACTGAGCTTTGGTACTGTTGTCGTTGGGTATGGTCTTGGGTGGGCAAGCTACGCAGGCGATTATACAGTGTGAGCTGTCTTCTTTACATCTGTTGCAGTCACGCATGTTCATTGGCTCTCCCAGGAACTTGCCCGAGGACACACCGACTTGGAAAATCTTCGCCGCGACATATCTGGGCCTGAACACTTCCTTGATACTAGTAGAGTCTCTGGGAGCCGCGTACATGACCACGATCATCAATAACTCAGCCTGGTCGGCGCTGTACGACGCCAACGGCGTGGGCGGTCTCATCGCTGCTGGGCTTACCCCGCTCAACGGCATTGGTCACTTCTTCACCCTCCTCATGGCCCTCTCGGTTGTCGCTAATAATATACCGAATGTCTACTCCTTATCCCTCACTGTTCCGATCTTCGGGCCCGTCTTTCAGGCCGTCCCGCGTTTGTTCATCACGCTCATCGGCACGGCGGTCTATATTGTTCTCTCGATCGTGGGTGCATCGCATTTCGAGGCCTGGCTGGATACGTTGTTGGTGCTACTGTCGTACTGGCAGGCAATCTTTGCTACACTCGTCATAGAGGAGCATGTCATTTTTCGCAGAAGCTGGAGGAACTATGAACTGGATTCCGCGAACAAACGCTCTGCGCTGCCGCCCGGGATAGCAGCCTCAGTGGCATTCGGATGCGGCGTCATGGGTGCTGTGTTTGGGGTCGCGCAGTCTTGGGTGAGTACTCTGAAACATTGTGCCAATTATCAGCAGGTTAGGCGCTGACTGTCCTTATGCCTGACCAGTACATCGGCATTCTGGCTCGGAAGATTGGAGATCCCACGGTTGGGGGTAACATTGGATTTGAGCTCTCTCTGGCGTTCTCTGGCATCGTGAGTGATTTTGGCATGATGAAGCCGAAACACAGGACACTGATGCCACGATATATAGGCATATCCGCCGTTAAGATATCTTGAGAGAAGGCTGTTTGGTCGTTGAAAGACTAGCCTGGCGGCTTTCAGCCTTGCGGGTTTATCACATTGGTTGAAAGCTGTAAAAGACCGATTAGGACGTCAGGTGACGGGTCGAAGTCCGCGCTACTGTTGAGGTATCTGGTGAGAGTACCACCATCCAGGAAAGTCCATGCCATCATATTCAGCACCAGGCGAAGTCAGCGCTGGCCGTACGCGTGTATGACGCGCTCAATCAGGAAGCTGGCGTGCTATTTCAGATACTTCAGACACTGCCAACAAGTTGCGAATCAACAGTGCATTAGTCTCGCGCAGAGTTTACGGTTGCGCAAGTTTAAGAACAAGATAGGTCAAGACTTGTGCCATCCTTCAGAACTGGAGCGCTATCCTTGCGCTCTCGCTATCACAACAGTCGTTGACAGATGAGGCTTGAATAGGGCGTACCCGCTGAGCGCATGTTGGTCGCTGTCATAATCGCCTTCTTACACCGTTCTACCGTCACGGATCTCGAATAGCACCCTTCGTTCAGGCGTCTGAATATCGCCTCTTACTAGTATGTCACGGAGGCCACATTGTGGTCTGAAATGCCCGATATCAGCTTCGGCGGCCACGATTTGACCGCACCTTTTGAATAGTAACCAGTCGGCCAGCATAGCACGCCACATCGAACTACGTCGAAATTTCCGGCCGCTCGCACACTTCATATGTCCGCCCGGTGTGATCCTCGAGGCGTGAGGGTCTCTCATTGTGCGGTGAAGTCGTCCTACCTCAACGGTTCTCTAAATCTCAAGCACCAGGGCTAGAGAGTGAATGCACGGCAGATACATGGCAAGAGACTGCAACGTTTACCGTTCACGAATCACGATAGGACAAGTACTAGTACGAATGCCATGTCCAGCCGAGACACTCATCGCCACCGCCGCCCACCGCCACAACCACGCGTCCTTTCAGAAGCACCGGACAACCTTCGCCAAGCCGACTTCTGGTCCTTCTCTAGAAACGTGCAAACCCCGTTTATGATATCAGTGCCCTCTGGAATTTGGATTCAGTGCGTACTTCAGTCATAAGCCTACCGGTTAACATTTCTGTATACTGACTCCTGAGGCATCATGCCGACGCAGTATGTATTTCGAGAGCCTTCCAGAGTACGCTGCCACCGTGCATTTCCGAATTCTGCCTCTCCGGTGCTCAGTAGCCTCTGCCCTTCGGCCCCACCGACACATGCAGTCATCGCCCTCATCTGACCGCGCCTTCTCGTACGGGCATGACGCTCCTTACTCCCTACCCGGGGCCTTCTCGCCGTTCATTTCCTCGCAGGACGGAGGCACGCGAATGTATATAAAGGCTGGCCATACGTCGGTGCAGTACCCCATTGAAGAATTGTCTTCAATTCAGACAACATTACGACTACTTGTTCACGACTTGCACGCTTTAAATCACACATAATGTTCGCGCAGACCTCCTTCTTCGCCGTCCTTGCCACTGTCGTCAGCGCAGTGGTTCTCCCCCGAGCAGCGGAGTACGTCTCTTTCCCCGCGCAATGATCTACGTTCCCTCTTCATGCGTCTAATCTTTCCTTGCGTCCTCTAGTACCACCGTGACGTTGGTCAACAACTGCGGCTACCAGGTCGACCCCGCCGCTTACCCCGCCGTCACCTACAACGGGGCCGCAACTGGCGGTTTCCCTCTCGCTGGAGGTGCCTCCGCTTCGGTCACCCTACCCGCGAACTACAGTGGCCGTATCTGGGGCCGCACGGGCTGCGACGCGGACGGAAACTGCGAGACAGGTCAGTGCTTCCAGGGCGGAGAAAACTGCACGAGTCCCGCGCCCACGGGCCCGACCCTGGCGCAGTTCACGATCAACGGGTGAGCATCGGTTTGTATCGGAGGGAAGGATGCGTCACTGAGAAGTATCCTGGGTAGATATGCGTCGTCCGACTACTTCACCCCAACCGGCCAAGGTAACTTCAACATCCCACTGACCATCACTCCCGGTTCTGGATGTGAGTTCTCTTGGAATCATCTTCTGTCGCCGAACGCCTAGTAATCCGATATCGCGTTTCACAGGCTCGACTGCCCCGGTGACCTGCACTGACGCGAACGGAGACGGCAACGGCTGCGGCGCTACTAGCAGCTGCCCCACGGGCACCTCCTACACTATCCAGTTCTGCTAGATATCTTGACAGCAGACGCATCACGGACTACATCTGGACTCTCGGACTCCAGGGACATTGGCCCCACAATTTGTATGCATGTAGCACTTATTGCTTTGCCGAAGCATAATAATCATAGTTTTGATTAAGCAACAAGCGTACTTCGTTAGTACATTGATTAGACCCTCACGTTATCATTATACATCGTCAAAGGCGGAACAGGCGTCTGCCAGTGCATCATCCCACACAAGTGCGACATTAACCATCTTTCTATGATTATCGACTGAAGTACTTTTTCTCAAAGTAACGGAGTGGTGGATATGCCTAAAGATAAGATGGGAGTTAAGTAACCTCATGATCTGGCGGGGGCAAGATCGAATGGAAGTGCTTACTATCGCAGTGAAAGCAGCGGCAAGCTCGAAGCCGACGTCCCCGCCGAAGGCAGGATCCCCGATCTTCCTCCCGATCACACCCACATACTATCGGACTGTCAGAGACCATAACCAATAAAACACAATAGATACTCACCCAAGTCTGAGCCATACCAAGCACCGCACCCATGACCCCACACCCAAGCGCCACAAACGCTGCCCACCCGACAGGGTGTACACTCTTCCTGTTGTACATGTCCAACTCATACCTTGCCCACCTTCCGCCCCTGAAAATGAGATGTTCTTCCGTCACAATGGTAGCGTATATCACCAGCCAGTAGCTGAGCAGCACCAGCAGGGTATCCAGCCACTCCTCGAAATGGCTCGCGCCCACAATGGCGAGGACGATGTACACCGCCGTACCGATGAGCGTGATGAAGAGCCGCGGGATCGCCTGGAAGACGGGTCCGAAGATCTGCACCGTCAGCGAGAGCGAGTATATGTTCGGGATGTTATTTGCCACGATCGACAGGCCCATGATGACGGTCAGGAAGCGGCCGACGCCGTTCAGCGGCGTGAGTCCCGCCGCGATGAGCCCGCCTACGCCGTTCGCGGTGTACAGATCAGACCATGCGGAGTTGTTGGCGAGCGTGGTCATGTAGGCGGCGCCGAGAGACTCGACCAGGATGAGCGGGATATTGAGCCCTGCGTAGGTAGCCACGAAAATCTTCCACGCGGAAGTGTTTTCCGGTAAATTACTGAAGAGCGACGTCAACGACGAGATGGATGCGATAGTAATCGTAAACACCCACACAGTGTAGTCGGCGGCATAGCTGACCCAGCCAATCCCGAAACCGACGATGCTTGCGCCGAAGCTCAAGACGCTTGCGGCTTCTACAGGGCCGCTGCCGCCCCACGCACCCTGTTCCATGTATCCCAAGCCGGTTCCAAGCATAATGAAGAAAATGATCGCAGGCGCGATCCATGACCACCGCTCGTAGGTGTGTACAAACTTGTATCCCGCGAACGAGGGGAAGAGGGTGAGGAGCGCAATGATTAATATTCCCGCCCAGACAGGTATCTGGTTGTGCGTCGAGACGGCGCGAAGGGTCTGTCCTCCCACAATACTGTTGATCGTAGACCACCCCACTGTGGCGATCACGTTCAGGATCTATTCAAGGTGAATAAATTGAGTGCAAGGGTAAGACAGGCCACCTACACCCGGGAACATGCACACCCAGTACCCAAAGGCAAATCGGGAAAATACCATTTGTCGCAGACCCGTACGGGCACCGAATGACGAGAAGTAAGCCTGTCGCATGACTTAGTTTGCAGTCGCCAGCGCAAGTCGTTTGAATACATACCACTGGGACGGTCGACAATAGATTAAAGAAAACGATTGTCAAGACCGAGTCCCTCAGGCCCATCTCAAATATGCTCGCCCCGAGCGTACCCAGACTGAACGTGCTGATTGTTGTATTCGCAGCGCACCACATCGTAAAGCAGTCCCATGGGTTCTTCTGTGGGCGCTCCGCAGGTGGCACCCGCTCGATGCCCCGAGCCTCGACACCGTACCGGTCCAACTTCTGCACGATCGCCCATAGCTTCGCAAACACACCACGGTTCCGTGGTACGCCGTCGTCGAGCGCTTCCAGTTCGACCACGGTCGTGTGCACTGGTGCAGACTGTTTCTCGGGGTCGTGCGTCCCGGCACTCGTCGCCTTCTCCAACGACGAGCGGGACGTCGCGTTGTCGAGGGTCGACATGTTAGTAGGTAACAGAGGAGCAACTCAAGCCGTCACATACAGTCGACTCTGTCTTAACCCATACCTGTCATAACCCATAACCTGTAATAACCCATAGGTTTTTGGCTTCCACCGACATGGTAGATAGTAAAAACCCATAAGTCTGCCGTATCCCATAACCCATAACTTTTTGGAGGGTCATAACCCATAAAACAACCTATATTAGGAAGGTGCAGGTCTCCTTCCCACGAGAACCTGGACTATCTCGACCCTTAATTTTCGGTTCTCGTGGTATTTCAGAAGATAACCCTTACCAGACTCAAGATTCCGTATCTAAACGTTGTCATAAACGACGTCCGGCCTATACCGAATAGGCTGTGTGTCACGCTTACTAGGTAGTTACACGGTGTCACACGCTCTGGTAACCCATAGTCTGCAAAAACCCATAACTTTTGGGTTCCACGACCCGTTATGGGTTAGGACAGAGTCGACTGTATTTGTTTTGAAGGATATATAAACTCTCCGGTACGGTGGTGGCTTATCTTCTTATCATAAAATGTTGACAGTCTCTCCCCGCCGGAGTGAAGGCGTGGGAAGAACATTTTCAGCCGAACACGGGTGGACCAGGCACCACCTGCGGTGGAAGTTATAGCCCCCAGTGTCGCAGGCGCTGCTATCAGTGTCACTGACTTTTGGCATGAAACCATATTGCTAGATCCTCATGGTATGTCACTAATAATAGGGCTTCAGTCGGGAGGGCAGACACAGCGACGAGGTGGAAGGCTCAAGGGAACCCGGTGAAATGGTCATTACCGGCTATGGTGAAAACGTCCGAGGCTGCCGAGCTTAAGGAAGTTTGGGCCAGAGCGTCGACCGAACATCATGTAACGCTGCCACATTGGTTTCGCGTTAGTACACGCTGCATCTACAGGTGGATAGAGCGCTTCAACATTTGACCTCTGGCCAGGGAACTTTCAGCGACGCGGTGGTGGGCTAAGTTTACGCGTGGACCGAATCTAACTCTGCTGTGATCACTGATCAGCTTCGAAGTCTTCTAAGTTCATCAAAATGTCAGCATGATGTGGTAGGACTTTCTGCACACGGAGTCGGACGGTGAGAGTTCCAATGATGGTACCATCATGATGATCAACAGACCTCGCGGGGACTGTTCTTCAGTGAGCCTCTCGCACTCCCTCTGTACCGAACAACCCTAAGCAACAGAGACATACTTAGACACGGCAGGCCAGATGGCAACGTAGGAGACCAGGCGTTGGATCCAGCCAGTGTGTACGTAGTTTACTTGATCGCGGGCCCTCACGGACTTGCTCCGTGCGGAAGCCAGATTGGCACATTGAGATCTTCACGGATCCGAACGTACAGCTGCCTAGTCTGTTTCGTTCCGACAGAGAACCTACTGTCAGTGATAATCATGGACGCGACCCAGGGGTCCATACCACCTTCACTCGAAAGGATCCTCTCTCTGGGAGACTCTACAAGTTCCTGTGCTGTATTATTCAACGTTCGAAGTACTGTTTCTCGAGGTAGCGTAAGGGGGGGTAAGACTGTATGTGTTCATCCCCATCTGTCTCAACTGCCGATATCTGAGGCAAGGAAGTGACGCACGATGGCAGAAAACGCAAATGCAAGCTCAAATCCAATATCACCACCAAGGTTGAGGTCGCCGATTTTGCGGCCAAGGATGCCGATGTACTGACGAAAGAAGCAGCATGGTCATATAAATCTGTTGTAACACGTGCGCAAGGGGTACCTGGTACGTACCCACGTCTGTGCCATACCCAAGACGGCCCCCATCACCCCACACCCAAGTGCAATGAACGCTGCTATCCCAGGTGGTTGGGCTTGATACTTGCTAAATGCGTCGAAGTCGTAATTGCTCCAGCTGCGCCTGAAGATGAGATGCTCTTCCGTAAGAAGTATTGCGTATATGGCAGTCCAATACGACAGCAGGACCAGAAGCGTATCAAGCCAGGACTCAAAATGAGAGGCACCCACGATGGCAAGAACGATATACACAGCAGTCCCGATAACGGAAATGAAGACTCGGGGAACAGCCTGGAACCGAGGGCCGAATATCTGCACAGTGAGAGCAAGGGAGTAGACATCTGGTATGTTGTTGGCGACAATGGAAAGTGCCATTATCAAAGTGAAGAAATGGCCTACGCCATTCAGGGGAGTGAGCCCAGCCGCAATCAAACCTCCGACGCTATTTGCGTCATACATATCCGACCAAGTAGAGTTGTTGACGATGGTAGTCATATACGCAGCGCCGAGGGATTCCACCAAGATCAGAGGAACGTTAAGACCGAGATACGTCGCAACAAAAATGCTCCAAGCGGAAGTATCCTCGGGCAAGTTTCTGCGTGACGCGCTTAGTTGACAACAGGAAGCGGAGGAGAGTCGAGCTTACACTGTATAATCAGCTGAAAAACTGGCCCAACCAAGCCCGTAGCCGACGACGCTCGCCGCGAAGTTCAAAACGCTGGCAGCTTCTACAGGCCCGCTGCCACCCCAACCGTCTTCTATGTAGCTGAGACCTGTGCCAAGCATGACGAAGAAAATGATGGCAGGGGCAATCCAAGACCACCGCTCATAATTGTGGACGAATCTATACCCAGCGAATGGTGGGAGTAGACTCAGAACAGCGATAATCAGGATACCGGCCCACACCGGAATATTGTTTGAGCTGGAGATAGCTCGAAACGTCTGGCCCCCAACAATCGTGTTGATTGTGGCCCAACCTATAGTAGCGATACAATTGAGAATCTATACAACTTAAGCATAAAATACTTGAGCGAATGCGTGCTAGACCTACCCCTGGGAGCATGCAGAACCAATACCCGAAGGTGAAGCGAGAGAATACCATCTGTCTCAAGCCGCTACGAGCACCAAAAATAGAGAAGTAGGCCTGCGACACAGTCATTTAATACTGGTTAGTTCGAGGACTATTGATGAGCTCACCACCGGGATAGTCGAAACAAGGTTAAAAAATAGGATAGTCAATATCGAGTCTCTCAAGCCCATGTCGAATAAACCAGGACCAAGAGTTCCGGTGCTGAACGTCGAGATGGTTGTATTGGCCGCGCACCACATTGTGAAGCAATCCCAAGGATTTCGCTGCGGACGCCTCGTCGCTGGCACGCGCTCAATTCCCATGGCCTCTACACCGAACCTATCCAGCATCTGCACAATCGCCCATAGTTTGGCGAAGATTCCTCGATTACGCGGAACTCCGTCGTCCATCGCCTCGAGCTCTGCGACGGTCGTCCTAACGAACGACTCGGGCTGCTTCTCCATGTCCACCTTCAAGTTCTCCATAGAGGACCGCAAGGTGCTGTTATGCAGGTGACGCTGAGACATGGCGACTTGAGGGCTCTACAGGACGAGGGTAAGTCGGCTGCCCGAGGCTGAAGGATCACATATATGGCTGATATACTTCACTGGATATACATCCGAGCCCCTCCCTTATCACCTTATCACGGGGAAGGCCTGCTGCGATCAGACAGAGAGACACCGCTGTACGCTGTCTGGCTAGCAGCGGATACAAGGTGGGGTTGCCTAGAGTGGATGGATTGAGCTCAGGTTTCAGGTAGTCCCTTGATGTGGTTCAAAAGGGTATGAGAAGATATTAGCATCTATTTTAGCTCGCCATCAGAAGAGCATTCAGCTTACTACATTATCTCGGCTTCTTCCTGGAAAAAACGAGAAAAGTTGGCGTTGAGCGGTAGTCAGGTGGACAGACATCTTCCACAGGCACCAAAACTATACATGTCAATTTCCTGGAGCTACAATACTTGGACGTTCGCTTCACTTGCTGAAGCACGAATGGATGGCCTTGAGTGAGAATGGACTTGACATGAAGGAAAGAGAATGACAGTCTCCGAGACTTGAGTTATGCAGAGCGAGGGTAGTTGGAAATGGTGGCAGTCAACAGAACTGAGTTCGATGTGGGGTAAGGACTCAATAGTAGGGTTATTAAGGTTTACAGAAGCAAATACTCCACTCACCGGCGAAGTTAGCGAGATTACGGTAACGGTCTGAACCCACGAAGACTGCTGTGGTTACCCTCGACTTGAACGCCTCCAGTACTCTACTTACCTCATTGTGACTGTTTCCGGATAGTTTCGAAATGGCCACATCGTTGTTAGCTCGCAATCCTCTCCGGTCTCCAGCACCGTTGCCCTTGGATCACATGTCAGATGGGAACTTCTTCACATGCTTCAGAGCCCTGGCCTTGCGTAACTTGTGATCTGCGATCCACTACTTACAAGTGTCGGTGATTCTACCGTCGCATTGCCCAGCTTAAAGGAGAAAACACATAGAGATAAGCAACTGCTCAACACACAATGAGAGGGCCGTCACACTCACAAGTGGAGACACCTTCCGTACATATACCCATCCATCTATCTTCCTTCCCCGAGCTTCGAAGCGTATCAGAGATCTTGTACCATCCATATCGATTACAGGAAGATAGCTCGAGACACAGGACTTGTCTGATGCAGATGTTATGCCGAGTACTACAAGGCTTGAGATAAAGAGCGGAATGTATGTGAAACTTATTCATTCAGAGCCAAGAGGGACGTAGATATACCTGCGCCCAGGTCTTCACCTCCAGACTGCAGGGGAGGCGACGCCACCGCCCGGTCACCCCGGTAGTCTTCAGCTTCCGCTCTAGCAAGCTGGGACCAAATACAGCAAGAGCATAGGCTCACAACAGGCACTATTTTGAAACCGTCGGTGAACATCAGCATCAAACGAGAGCCAACTCATCCCTAACCACAACCATCAGCATTTTCAAATTTCCATTCTGCATCTATACGCACCCGAGATGACCGCCAGCCGCTCGCATAAGTACTTCCCGCTTGATTTTAAAGAAACGCGGTTGGTCCTTCGGCGGACAAACTTTCCATGTCAGACCATCGTACCATCGCAGTACTGGGTGCCACAGGGAATGTGGGCCGACAAGTCGTATCCTCCCTGTCTACTCACCCACTTGCGGTCTTCCCTTCTCTTCGAATTCTTACCAGGCACAGTAGCCTGAATAAATTCTCTTTCCTCCCACACGGGCTGAATACCAGTATTCACCCGATTGCATATGGAATGCCTGATAGACACAGCCAGTTGCTGTATGTGCTCACAGGGGGTAGACGTCGTTATTTCAGCCATAGGCGACGACTCTGGCTTAACCGCCAAGGATGTGAAGCATGTGGGACATCTACCATGATTCCAGGCCCGGGAAGCAGTGGCCAGAGCTGCTAAGGAGGCGGGAGTTCAGGTGTTCGTCCCTGCGTGAGTGCATGATGAGGGATAAGGGATTATGTCTCACTTTTGTTCTCCATAACCAGTGAGCATGCGTATGCCACTCACACTATTCAGCGCGACACATCTTTCTTCATCGTAGGCAAGCGTTTGTTCCTGGATCTCCTTCGGGATGACCTAAAACTGCCGTGGTAAGTAGGCAAGGGACAAAACTTCGTAGTGCGCAATGGTATTGATATGCTATCCAGGCTATGGGTGTACCCGACATGTCATTTCCTGTTCTACCGAGTTCTGCCTCGATCATAGCAGAACCAGGGGCAGTTCCCTACTCCAGAGCCGTGAGTCATTAGTACAAACCGTATCCCAGAGAACCCTCAGATCTACCACCTTGCAATCCATCCTCGCAAACGGGAGTGGCCCCCTTTGAGGCTACTCGCTACCACTTAGCCTCATATTTGGTGCAACTGGTGTTGGATGTCCCATGTGCCGAAACTGCCTGGGGAATCTACAGGCTCCTGGGACTAAAGAAGGAGCGGCTGATTAGCGAGTCGAAGGAGGAGGTGGCGAAGGACAGGGTCGTATCCTTCATTTCATCTGGCGTACCTGTTTAATGTTTCACCATGTTATACTTGACGTCCGTTATGGTGTGGTACGTACATCTCATAGCCTCGTACTTTGCTTGTCCCTTGTACCGCATTGTTATTGACTTGCCCGGCCTGGGCAGAAGGACAGTAATCGCTGATATGCACAATCCACAATCCACCGCATCATTGTGTTGCTCGCTCCCTTCTACCCGCCCTGTCCCCGGATGGAACCCTTGCGTGCCGCAGCGGTGGGTTGCACCGCATGCAGTCAACTCACACCGTGTGGGGTCGCAAGCCGCTGCTGCGTTGCGTAGGGACGGTCGTCCTACAGAAGGCTGTCGTGTGTATTTCGTCTGGAATTCCTGTTTGATCTCACAGCATCTTATACTCTGACGTCCGCGGCAGTGTGGTGCGGGCCCCTTGGTATCGTATCCCGTACTTCGTCTCTACCACCTTGACAGTGCCATCTCCCGCGTTTGTGGCAGGCTCGACCGCAGCCCGCCCTCCTGTGGTAAAACTCGATCCTTGTCCAACCGCCGGGTGGGTGACGCGTCCGTCCGTCCGTCCGCCTGACGGATCGGTGGCAGCGCCGACGCGGAAGGAAGGCGCGTATATCGACGCCCGTGCCCCGTCCTCCGAGCTGGCAGATAGGACGCTCGTCGGGCACGTGTGAGCGCCCGGCGATCGCTTTCCTGGCTGTTGTCCACCCGCGACGCGCGCGAGACGACTAGCCCGGTGGTAGTGCCGCTGAGCCGCGGGACACGAAGAAGACCCTGCGGCGCGAAGGCCGCCTCCAGCACCACAGGCGATATCGTGCCCGCGAGGCGACTCGGATTGCGTGCAACCGGTATCGCCTGTGCGCTGCGTGCCCGCCATTACGGGCGGGCCCTCTTTTGACTCGACCTGGTTCCTGTGGCTGAGAGTTGACGAATGCCTGGCTTGGGTCGAGGACGGGGACGCCGCGGCTTGGCAGGTCGGTGTGTTCCACTTCTTGGGACGATACGGCAGGCTGTGGGTGTGTCCAGCTGCGGACGGTGTGGGACATTCACATAGTGCCCATCCGGCGCGGTTGAGAGAGGGGGGGGGGAGCTTGTCACTGAAGCATTCTCCTCTGCTGCGTTCTCGTGCGCTGCGAAAGGCGTGTTTGGCCTTGTCGCGCGTGGCTCGCCTGCTGTGTCTGGGAACCCGAGGCTGTCGTGATAAGCAGGCCGTCCTTGCGAGCAGGCTGCCTGATCGGGCGGGTGTGGGTTGGCGCTGGTTCGCGCGGGAGGATGTTTCCGCTGCTGGGCCGGGAGGGTCTCGTCGCCGGGTGCGCGTGGCTGGCTGGACGTGCGTCGTGCTTACTTACCTCATGTCTGAAGGAACGATGTGCTGCGATGTCTCGGCGAGGCATCGGAAAACAGGAACGACGGCGCAGCTCCGAGTGTGGGCGCTGTTCTGTCACCAGGATCCCGATCCTGCCGTCGCTGGGCGGACGGAGAGTCGTCGTCCGCCGTGCAGAGGAGTATTGTGCTGCGAGACGCGTAAGCGGCGTTGATCCCGAGGACCGACGTAGCCTCGTGATTGCGGGTATACGTAGGTGTTCTGTCTAGCGGGGTGGTTCCTGTGGCTGAGGTTCAAGAATTTCTTAGCTTACTTTGAGTATTCGCAATGACGGCAAGTGGTGGTCGTGGGCTACTCGGCTCGGTCCGTATCCCCGGGCACGAGCTACGGTACAATATGCGCATGGTGCGAAGCTGGGGACAGACAGACGCGGTTTTGCTCTTGTGAGTGCTCCGTTCTCGGCGCCGCTGGGAGACAAGGAGAGCTCGGACGCGGTGTTGTCGTGACCGTAGATCTGCTTAGATACCCGGGTCTTGTCTCACCATGTCTTACGCCGCGCAATTGTGATTATAGCATCCTGCGAACGAGTTATCTTCCGCTGCGTGGCGATTGGACCGATTGCTTGCGGACGTATTGCTGCCCTCGAAGTCCTACAGAGCACATCGAGGATGCTTCCGCGCCCGTGCGATTGTGCTCTTCGCCCGGGCGCGCCTGACTGGCGGAGCGTATCTGCCGGAACCTTCACCGATTGGCCCGGAGCGGCTGAGCCTTTCGCGTTGCTGCCGAGCATGCGGGTAAAGGTCACGACGATCGTCGTTTTAGGAGCGGGTCCTGGTGGCTTCTTCCTTTTCAAGACAGACCGCCCTGGCTTGTGTCCGGCTCATTTCATTATGACCGCCTTTGTGTTCATAGGTGCGGCGACCGGGGACTGGGCTCAGGTGCATCCCCGCCCAAACGCGCAGGACCCCGTTCGCACATTTCGCGAGCGCGTTCAACCCTGCAGTGCGAGGCACGCATGCCGAAATATGAAGGGGGATCGAGATTGGGAGGATCTGCGTGGGCCGAGGCCCGAGATGAGATCGGATCTGGGATGCGGGTGCGATGACGCAGTGGGCTTTCACAACGGGTGCCTGGCGAGTGTGGCCCTCTTCTTCATTGTCTCGAGTCCGCCCACAGTCAATCGAAACAGATGCACGCGTTCGTGGTTATTGTGCAGGGCAAGTATACGCGATAATTGCAGGGCCGGGTGACAGACGCGTGCCTTTTGTTGGCTGCCTGCGGGCTCGGGCACCTTTGCAACTTCAAGGCACGTCAGGCACGCCCGCGTTAAGGTTTCCCGCCCTCGCCTGCCTTGGCGATGCCCTGGCGTATATAAACGTGCCTCCCTCTGATCGCCGGGTCCTCATCCACTCGTCCTCCCCGACACCACACCAACAAAACACACCATGCGCGTCCAAGCCCTGCTCGCCGTCTTTGCCTCCGCGCTCGCCGTCGCCCGCGCCGCTCCCGTGGTGCGTCCCTCCGTGGCGTGCGCGGGTTCTTACTTACCCCGTCTTTAGGAGACTCGCGATCTGGTTGCGCGCAGCCCCGTTGTCGAGGCCAGGGCCGACGTAGTCGCTGTGAGTCCCCCCCCCTTTCTTCATTAATCATGGTTCTCATGGCTTTGCCTGCTACTATACAGCGCGCGTCCGACTGGAAGCGCGAGCCTGAGCCTGAGCCCGAGCCCGCGAGCGACTGGAAGAGGGCCAGTGACTGGAAGCGGGCCAGTGACTGGAAGCGGGCGAGCGACTGGAAGCGCGAGCCCGAACCAGCTTCAGACTGGAAGAGGGAGCCCGAGCCCGCGAGCGACTGGAAACGCGCCTCGGACTGGAAACGGGCGTCGGACTGGAAGCGGGCGTCGGACTGGAAACGCGAACCGGAGCCCGCTTCCGATTGGAAACGCGAGCCTGAGCCCGCCTCGGATTGGAAGCGCGAACCCGAGCCTGCATCCGACTGGAAGCGCGCCTCCGACTGGAAACGCGCCTCCGACTGGAAGAGGGCAAGCGACTGGAAACGCGAGCCCGAGCCCGAGCCCGCCAGCGACTGGAAGCGGGCTTCCGACTGGTAGTCTCCCCACCCCACCCACCATCGCCTCTACACCCCTCTCTTTTATTCTCGCCGGTCTGCGCTCGTTTTGTTGTGGGATGTCGTTGTCGTTGTTGTATGAATCTCACGGTAGAGGAAGAAGGGAAGGGAGGGGATAAACCGTAACGAGCTGTATAATGCCTGTTTATCGTCGTCTAGTTTTATTCGTCTATCTATCTATCTACTGTCTGTCTGATGTCTTCCCACTGTCTGCTCTATCCGGCTATATGCTGATCAATAGATGCGCTGGGATGTGTGTCTGGTCGAGAAAAAATAAAAGGGGGGAGGGACGAGTGGGGTGTACTATGCATATACGGGGCCACGCAGTAATAACGATAGTGAAACTGCGCGAGGTATCACGAGCACTGCGCGATGACGAATCTCCAGCACGAGGCTGGGCATCGATGGTCCGGGTGTCTGGCGCGCCCCGTGTAGACTACTACAGACAAAGGAGGGACTGCCTTAGTGCTGATTCGTCCCAGTTGTGACTGGTCGGAGAAAACGTACTGGTAGTTATCGCGAGGTTGGGGTTGGAGGGTCGGCTGCCGTCGGAGCGGGGGAGTCTTCTGCGTCGGCGAAGGGGTAGTCGGTGTACCCCTCCGGGCCCGGCGTGTAGAACGTCTTGCGGTCGTACGGCGCGAGCGGGAGGTTCTTGAGGAGGCGCGTCGGGAGGTCCGGCTGGTCATCACCAACCAAAATCAGCGCACGCAGGACAGATCAAGGACGGGGGAGGACGCACGTTGGAGATGAAGAACCGCCCGAACGCGACCAGGTCGCGCGTGCGCTCGGCGACGTCGAGCGCCAGGGCGCGCGTGTACCCGCCCGCGCTGATGATGCGCCGCCCGTCGTCGTGGCCGCCCGGGGCGGACCAGGTGGTGCGGATGAAGTCGTTCGACTCGCCCGGCGGCGGCTCGCGGTCGAAGATGCCGTCCGCGCGCGGCTCGACGAGGTGCAGGTACGCTAGGCTCGGGTGGGCGGCGCGGAGGGAGGAGACGAGGTGGGAGAAGGTCGGGACGGGGTCGGGCATGCGCATGTCTGGTTACGTCAAGGGGGTAGGAGGAGAGGGAGGGAGGAGGGGCGCACCGTTGAACGTCGCCCAGGGGCTCAACCGTATCCCCACCCGCTCCGCGCCCACCACTCGCACCACGGCGTCCACGACCTCCAGCGCGAACCTGCACCGCCGCTCGACGCTCCCCCCGTACGCGTCCTCGCGCTTGTTCACGACGTCCTGCAGGAACTGGTCGACGAGGTACCCGTTCGCGGCGTGCACCTCCACGCCGTCGAACCCCGCCTTTAGCGCATTCCTCGCGGCGGTGGCGTAGAGGGAGAAGTATTCGTCGATCTCGGGGATCGTCAAGGCGCGCGGGGGGGAGGGCCGGGAAGAGAGCGGGGTGGGGGAGGAGGAGACGTACGGCGCGCCGGGGGCGTCGGCGGCGAGCACGGCGGGGTCGGCGGCGCGCCCCTGCGCGCGGAGCTGGCAGACGATGTACGAGCCGCGCGCGTGCACCGCGTCCGTGACCTGCGCGCATCAGCACTGCCACGCACTACGCGACGGAGAGCTCACCCGCTTCCACCCCTCGACCTGCTCGTCGCTCCATATGCCCGGCGTGTTCGCCGACCCGCCCGCCTTGGCGGCGATCTCGGTGGACTCGGAGATGAGGAGTGTCCCGGGGACGCTGGCGCGCTGCGCGTAGTAGGTCGCGGCGAGCTCGCCGGGGACGTGCGCGGCGCTCGCGCGGCGCCGGGAGAGCGGGGCGAGGACGACGCGGTGCGAGAGGGCGAGCGGGCCGAGGGTGGTGGGCTGGAAGAGTTTGGGGACGGCGGTCATGGTGTTAGGGAGGGTGGCGATTTCCGCGGGCATATATGCGCTTGGCGGGGACCGTGGAGGCGATTATTCATGCTATGGGAAACGTTTGCCATGTTGAAGACGAAGAGGGGACGAGAATGGAGGGGTGTCGTGGGATGAGACGGTGACTGATTAGATTGCACTTGTGTATTTTGAGAGCGCGGCTGTGATTGGCCGGGAGCGTTGATCGAAGGAGGTGCAGGCTTCAGCCAATCAGCGTCGCCCTCCGCGTCGACGTCCAACGTTCCGTCTTTCACTCCAGTCGACCCGACTCGGACTTTCCAGATCCAGCGACGAACTGACATAAACGACACAACTCAAGTTCAACCGCAATAAATCGCGAATCTGCCGTTTGTTTCTGCCAGCGCAAGTGTCGACCATGGTTTAATTACACCACGGACGTATAAAGCCCCCGTTAGTCCCGAGCATGCGTCCATCCCTTCTTTCCCCTTCTTGCGTCTGCTCTTGGATACCCCCTTACGATTCCTCCCGTTCCCTTTGCGTATACCATGTCTCAGGTCGAGTTCAAAGGCTACGCTGCTCTCGATGGCCAGAGCTGGGTACGGTCCTCTCGATGCTCGGTAGTTGAACGTCTTCTGACTCTGTGGTTATAGTGCAAGGGAGGCTTGAAAGTTATCGACATCAAGCCGAAGACGTGGAAGGAAACGGACGTCGAGATCACTATCACGCATTGCGGGCGAGTCGCGCGGTACCACTGTTACCAACGCTCATGACCTTGTGATTTTGACTTAGTGTGTGCGGCTCGGACGTACATACTATCACCGAGGGGTCAGTACATTCTATCGCGCACCCTCCCCTCCTTGCCAACTAACAACTTGAAGTTGGGGCAAGGTCCCATTCCCTCTCGTAGTCGGGTATGTCGCCCTCCACTACTATTGTGTAATTGATCGTTCACGGCCAGACTATGTAGCCACGAGATCGTCGGCAAAGTGACTCGCGTCGGTTCTGAAGTCAAAGACCTCAAAGTTGGCGACCGCGCGGGCGTGGGCGCCCTAATCGGCGGCTGTTACTCCTGCCGAGCGTGCAGGTCCGACAACGAGAACTACTGCCCGCGCTCCGTCCTCACCTACGTGAGTCCTCCCCCGTCACCGCCGCCCGCTGCTAACGGCTGCAAAGGCCGACAGGTACCCTGATGGAATGGTGACGCAGGGCGGGTACGCGAGCGCCATCCGCGCGCACGAGCAGTTCGTGTTCCCCATTCCGGACGGCGTTGAGTCGCGCGACGCGGCGTCGATGCTGTGCGGCGGGCTCACGATTTACTCGCCGCTCAAGCGCAACGGCGCCGGACCTGGCAAGAAGGTGGGCATCGTGGGCATTGGCGGGATTGTGAGTACCTCTCTTCACTTACTATGTACCTCGAAGGTTGAATCCAATAACCGACACTACAGGGACACTACGGCATCCTGTTCGGGAAGGCGATGGGCGCGGAGGTGTATGCGTTCACTCACGACGAGAGCAAGGTCGAGGATATCAAGAAGATGGGCGCGGACCACGTCATCATGACCGACGACGTGCGTGCCTCTCCCTCTTGCGTTCTTCTATCTCGTTGACACCCCGAAAACTCAAACAGAAGGGCGACTTTGCCAAACCGCTCGCACGCACGCTCGACCTGATCATCTCCACGCGCGACGTGGCGGAGGGCATGCCGCTGCAGCAGTACCTCAGCATGCTCTGGGTGCACGGCAAGTTTATAACGGTGGGATTGCCGGACGGGCCGCTTCCGCAGCTCAGTGCGTTTGACCTCAACCCGAACGGGTGCTTTCTGGGCGGGTCGCGGGTCGGGAGTAAGCGGGAGGCGGCGGAGATGCTGGGGTTGGCGGCGGAGAAGGGGATCAGGCCTTGGTGAGTCGTTTGTGTTTGTGTTTCCGTTTATTCTCCAGTATTGTTTTGTGTATTGTTTGCTGCGAGGGGTTTGTCTTATTGGTTGTGGTGTTCTGATATTTTGGCATCGGTGTTTATTGGGAGATTGGATGGAGCGCGTGTGCGTTGGGGAGATGCTGATGATTTGTCGTATAGGATTGAGGAGATGCCGATGAGGGAGGCGGCACAGGCTATTCAGAGGCTGAAGAGGAATGATGTGAGGTATCGGTTTGTATTGACGCAGGATTTGGTGTGAGATGGGGATGGACTCATTGGGAGATTGACTAATCCCGGCCTTCCCTGGTGACTGATCATACTTTTGATGAACGGCAAGTTTACCTCTGGTGCCGTGTGAGCCTAACTTCCGACCAAAAACTGGGAGCAAGAAAATCTCCATGACTTTTGATTTGGCCTGTCTGCGACGGGTCGGAAGAGCAGTAAATGATGATGATCGAGTCGCCCTCAGGATACTAGTAATTCCGTGCCCGATGTTGCGCAGTACCGGTACAATGTAGGACCCAACATCTGTTGTAATTGGTGGTAACATGATAAGTAAGTAGTCCTAGAGCAGCGCGGACGCTGAGGCCTGAGACCTGAGAACGGGTAGCTTTAGCAGCCTAGGTTCAGTCTATTTTCCCTTGGTTCCGGTGCTGAGTATTTGATTTGGGCATAGCTTTCGAATGTCTTACAACTTCGAGCCACAGTGTGCAGGGTACAGAAGACTCCACATGATGCGCTAAAGTCTTGAACTTCAACTGGCAGCTGCTGTGCGCACCAGCGCCGCAGCCCTCTCGGACCGTGCCCGAATCATGCACTCGAATGGCATCGGGTGGCTGTAAAGTGGCGGATCTGTGAGTACATCGTCCGAGTGCGTATTAGCGTACTGCTACCTGATGATTCCTTTCGTGCTCCTATACACCGGCTCGATGGGTGACCCATCCGCCTTGGTTGCTTTTTGTATGTCCAGAACAGCCAGACACGATGCACAGGCAAGGAAGACCACGGAGTCCGCTAGGAGGGAGCCTGGCAAATGATAGACAGTTGAGCACTGGTGGTCATGCTCTGCAATACTACAATAGGAGGTGTGCATACCAGGACAGGACCTGTCGTGCACAGGAGATGTCACCGTGCTTGCCCGGTACATGGGAATGAAACAAATGCCTACCGTCTGCCAAAACCAAAGCATATGGAGAGGGGATCAGGGTCAGCGGGTCTGTGTGGTTGAGCAGAGTAGCGTGTCGGGTCGAACATGTGCGGGTCCGAATATCGCTTGGGGTCGTGCAGGAACCACCTGTGGGAGCGGCTAGTTCATTCCGATATTTTGGCAGCTGCGACTCGCAACCCTACTTACTTACCAGATATTGGCGAGCACTATCGATCCTTTCGGTATCGTGTACCCTGCATGGACGTCGTCTTTGATCAGGCGATGCGGTGCACCTGTCGTCTCGACGTTAGTCATACGGGTGGCTACTGCTACAATGACTGGAGAGAACCTAGTGGCGTCGCCGGGAAGCAACGGAACACTTCTTTCACCAGGGAATCGACGTAGGGGAGGTGGGTGCGGTCGTCGATGGTTGGCAGTCGGTCGGTACCCACCACAGAGTCAATCTCCGCCTGTGCCCTTCTCTGAGCTTCGGGATATAACACCATTGCGAGAAAGAATGCATATATGGTTGAGACGGTCTAGGTAGATGTGGGTACGTGAGACGTGACGGGCTTGGTCTGTGGCGTACCGTGTCAGAGCCGCCTGGGGAGGAATGGGAATGTGGGTTACTGGGAGATGAGGCTAATGCTAGGAAGGTATACCTGAGTACAATGAACCAGCGGCCCACTTGACAACCGTTTCATCGTATTCATCCATGTCCAGAGCAGAGCGCGTGAAGGAAACCGTGGCGCAGCGAGCATCCTGCAGCACGCTGTCAGCTAGACACTGCTCACACACGTATATTTCGTACAATCTGTTGCTTCACGAATTCGAAGGGCAAGTCGACCATGACCTTAAGTGTCTGTGCCCAGTGCTCAGCGGTCTTTTGGAACTGTAGCTTTGGCAGCCACTGCGGTAGATGCTTCACTGGACCAGGAAGAAAGGAAATGTTAGTTGTTTGCGAATTGCTGTCGAGTAGCGAGACTAACGAAAGGGAAGGATGTCGACCATGAATGCTCCTGGTACTAAGAGCATAGATAATTGACCCGTCGCCTTTTCTACAACATCCACTATGGGATCATGCTCGTCACTCAGAGAATACCCATGGGAGATCCTTAGTATGTATGCCGTCGAGGCCCTGTTTATTTTATTATTGACGCTAAATTACTGTACAGGTGAGGAGTAGGAGCTTACCTTCTGATGTGCCGTCTCAGTTGGTCTGGTTGGTCTAAGATATTTTGCAACAGCCGAGTGGTCTCCTGATGCGCACTGGGAAGGAGATCGCCCAAATAGGCACGGTTACCCATCAATCCATGGAACAGGCGTCGGTATTGGCGAAACAGTCGGCCATAGGGTGTAAGTGCAAGGATCCGATTCCAGCCGACTAGTTCACCACCCATGGTCAAGCGAGGGCGGTCGGAGTATATGTTACTCTTCTTATCCAACATTTCATTTGTAGTTTCCAGTGAATGCAAGATAATGATGTGCTGTTGAAGAACTTGAACATGCAGCATGTCACCTATGGAAACCCTCTAGGTTAGCATGTAAGCGATGAAGTGGGGGCTAAGATATACCGTATTTTTTAGCCCAGCTGGCGAAGACGGTCCAAGCGCCTTCCTGCGGCATCCGCCCTAACATACCCAATAATGGTAGACCCTTTGGACCCGGTGGAAGCGATAAGGATCGACGGTGATATCGAAGGAGAGTATACGCCCCAAGCAGGACTATTCCAGCTGCGATAGCTTGGAGAAATATCGTGGAAGTCATCTCAGGCAGTCTAGCTCAGTGGAGAGGCAGGCGATACTGATGAAGTCCTCCTCAGATAAGTGTATTCGGTGATAGCAGACACATGCTCCTAGACTGTATTATTGTCAGAATGACGCAAGAATGACGAATCAGAAAACAAAGACCGCTCACCATTTACCTTGATCAGATTTGAAAAGATTCACTGACAGGCGAAAGTTAGATAATACGTGCAAGACACCTACTATATCATTCGGACCTTTGCCTGAGCTTCAGAGTACTTATTGGGGGTGGGCAACGCCGCGTCGAAATGCGTATGCTTATGTAAGCAATTGGTGGCGCAAAAGTGACCAATGCTGCTCCTGTTGCCCATACACAATCACCTCACTCTTCTGAGGTCTAAGCAGGCACTAATGATTGTATATAACATAGTCATATCCAAAGGTAAGCCTATGATTAAATGTCAGAACTAATAAAATGACAGAACTCCCTGGCATTCGCCCTAGTCACATCACTGTCACACCGCGTCTCGCGCCAAATCACTTTTCTTCAGTCGACTACCGTGGACACTGTGCTGGCTCGTAGACTCACTTTCACGTCTAGCTTCAAACATGAGAAGTGCTCTATCAAGTAAGCTCTTGTGCGTGTTCAACCCAGATTGTCCATTGGGTAACTTTTTTTACACTATTTATTTAACTATCAGCAATTTCCCAAAAATTCACTGAACACGCACTAGTAATGATCTTTTTGTGCAAATCTGTGACTTAAATCTGCTTGAAAAGGCAATAGCGGGGGCACAACGTTGTCCGACAGCAGTTGGTCACTGCCAAATCGCGTTTAAGCCTGAGCCAAACATGTACAAATAGTACGCATTCAGACGCGGCGTTGCCCACCCCCATACTTATTCGGCGCTGCGTGGCATGCCAGGTCCGATTCCCCCGGGACCTGTTTAAGTATCTCGAAGCTTCCAATTTAGCATTTGATTATGATGCACGCACTTTCTTGCCTACGGGCGTTCCGCGGCCGATCTTGATTCTGGCCTGAGAGTATATTAACTATAATGCATGCAA